ACTTTTATAATGTTTCTGTTGAGAAGGGTAGATCTTATAGTACACACCTAGTATTAGTTGTTGATATGATGCAGACTTATATCATTTTAGTTAAGAGCCGGTAGTTAGTATGTAGTAATGTAGGTATCTAAGGAGGGAATAGATAGAAGAGTATTTAGAATGATAAAATACAGGAATGGTACTAGCATTATAAATTGTTAAAATGCTAGAAAAAAATGGTGGAAAAGGTAAACTAAATACAAGGAAAGTATCGCAGAAAAAACACATCCTTCTTTGTTGATGAAGTTTTTTATCTCAAGAAAATGAGACTGAGAATAAGACTTTGTGTTTGGTGTTGCTTTTTTTTGCCCCCCCCCCCCCCGATATGACCAGGATAAAGTAGAATATTTGTAGTTAGTTTTGCTCTCCCTTCTCTCTTTACTGAAAAGTAATGTCCATGAAAAGTGAATTTTCTTCTTTACCCATGTTCCATAGTCATGAAATGTCTCTCTTTCATGTTGCCCAAAGAAGGACAGAACGCTATGTAAAAGCAGGGGAATAGCATTTGCTTATGTGCTCTATTACATGTGTATATGCATATTTATCCCAGAGCATGGTTTGTGTGGTGGGTTTTATGCTTGTGAAGCATTATTAAATATGGTTCACTGTCAAGAAGTATTTAGCCTATTATGCATATGTATGGCCACAATAAACATTAAAAAGCATTTAATACTAGAGTCTTGTTTTGTGCATATTTTTTTCCTTGGTGTATTTTTTTATTCTTGGCCTAGCCCTGTGCTGAACATCTCCCCTTTTAACTCTCTCTCTCTATTTCTCTTTATTTCCTTTTCTCCGTTATTCTGTATGTTTCACTCTCTATCCCTCTCTTTCTTTCTCTTTCTCTCTTTTTCTTTCTATTTCTCTTTCTCTCTCTTATTATTTCTTGCCTGCTCCTTATAGCAGCCCTTATCCAATATTTTCCATATACATGTAGTAAATAATATTTAAACGACAGCTATGAGAAGAGACTAGATAAACAGTAAAGACTAATAGAATTCAAGTGTACATATATAAAGAGACGCACATTACAGAAAAGAAACGAACAACGAGTTGTGTAAAAGTTGTAATGAACGTGGGAACTTTAGTGTGAAAGAGAAAACGAAGTTATCAGACAAGGTCATAGATTAAATCGAGATACGGATAGGGCGTCCTTCGATCAGTGATGAATACCATATACATGACTTGCATCAATATTACATAACAATTCGCTGCTGGTTATCACCGAAAAGTGGCACGAGAATGCACAAAACAGATCTATACAAAAAGGTGCTGAATTGCATTTCATTTATTCATTTCCACATTCCAAAATACAAAATAATGGGCATTTCATAAAATACATGTGCAAAGGAATACATAAAGAAACAAACGTAACCCAAAGTATATATATATATATATATATATATAAAAGAAAAAGAAAAAAATATATATAAGTGGAAAACACTCCGTCCCTCAGGACGTTAAAAGGAGGCCCGTGGACAGGAGACTGAGGAGAGTCACCACCCTTGCACGTTAAGAACACATTGTACTATTTGTATAAGAGTAGGGGAACCCCCGGTGTGTATGGGTCCACCTGCATACCCCAATTAGGCCGAGTGGATACGGCATCTGTAAGAATCTTCAGTATTGAAGGAGGCAGATTATCTTGAAGAAGAAGAAGAAGAAGGAGAAATAATAAATAAACATATACCAGATGAGAAAAGCAAAAGGAAAATGTGCTTATCCGGATTAATCTCCCGGATTAATCTCCATATAACAAAGCAAACAGTTAAAGCAGGGAGGAGAGGGTGGGCATTACAATATTACCATAAAAGAAAATTGCATATGTAACAATAGTTTTTTTTTTAATAGGTATCATTATTGCAGACCTAAATGTTTTGATAACATTGATATCCTTTCTGAATGGAGTTAATGAAAAGTTTAAAAAATAAAAAAAGATGTTCGCCCAATGTGGGGCTCGAACCCACGACCCTGGGATTAAGAGTCCCATGCTCTACCGACTGAGCTAACCGGGCTTCGCTGACACTTGTGTAGTCTTATTTCATAAGTTCAATTTTTTTTAGCATTTGGCATTTATCCAAGGATGTTATGGAACGCGATCAGGAGTATTTTTTTTTCATTATTGTTCTGCTATGTTGTTGTTTGTTGTTGTTCAATTAAGGTAGGTCAGTCGTAAAAGAGAGTCTGCACTATATGACTACCATGGGCCATGTACTATAGCTGCTCTTGACACAACCAGTAGGTAGCTGGGCTAGACTTTTCTCAAGGCACAATGATTTGTTGAAAAATTGTCAAATTAGGGTCTGTGCTTGCAGACTAGGACAAACCCGTGGTACGTTACGTAGGTTTCTCGGGGGGGGGGGGGGGGGGGATTTCCTCACGTCTTTGTGATATCTCAATATTTCGATAGAATCCTGTCGTTCCATTGGTCAATTGTCAATAATTCTCTATAGAGATGATGGCGCTGATTGGCTAATGCGCTATCGATATGTATCGAGTTTTGTGAGTCTGACGGAGCCGGTCGACTGAGCTAACCGCGGGCTCCCCAGGCTGACATTAATCGTCCTTGTTTTCACGAAGTGACGGTATAGTGAGGAAAATCGTAACGCAAAGTGAATGCAATTTTTTGTCACTACCGTCACTTCGTGAAAACAGCGACGATTTTCTGCTATATTGTTGTTGTTGTTTGCTGTTCAGTAAGTTTATGACCATTATTGCGAATACTATAAAGAATTTGTTTTTAATTCAAACTTACGTATTTATTCCCACATAATTTTCGTGTATATATATATATATATATATATATATATTTCTTCTTCTCTTAAAAAAACCAACAACAAATAAAAGGGGGAAGATAATGATATCATGTCAGATTCCCTATTTCCAATCCCAGTCCCTTTTTGGGGGACCTATCCTGACAAAACCGACACCTATACGTTAACGAAGGTTTCTGGGGGGGGGGTGGGTGGGTGCTCTTTGTGATATCTCAATTTTATCTCGAAATAGACCCGCCAAACGGCGGCCAAAGCACATTCAATATTATACACATTTTAACGTGCTTTATTTTCGAATAAAATAATGGGCTAATGTCTGCATGGGCATTATATACCTCAATTACTTGTACTACTCCTTTTTTCTTCTTATGTGTATCGATTACTTTTATTCCTTCCCTTTATTAGCTGAACTTGTCACCCCCCCCCCCCCCCCATTTTCACTTTTTTTCATGTTCATTTTATCATGTTATCATTTTTGTTATAGATATATATATATATATTTTTTTTTGGGGGGGGGGATCTTGCAGATACTATCTGTAAATCTGTTAAGTCCCCTCCTCTTCTCTTCTTTTCGACCGATCTCTGATTTACCGACACCCCCTTTCTATACCTCTCTATGAATCTACGCCCAGATAAATCCTGCCTTTTTTGTATTTATTACAACCCTTCATTCATTAATATGTAAACGCGTGTGAAGCCGATGTCAGAAAAGATAAATATCGTCAAAATTATGAATCAATTTAATCAAATGTGAGCACTAGACAAGGTAAAAGGAAATTATTTATTTTATCAACAAGAAATACAAACAAATAACGAAGACAACTCCAACTCCAACTTGATCACACAAAATAAAAGAATTCAGAAGTGCTTTCATGTATAGGCCTATAGGCCTACGCCAAACTTCTGTTACTGTGTGACAAGCAACACAAAACGGACAAAAAGTATTTAAAAATGGGGGGGGGGGGGGTACTGACAATTTGAGACAGCTTGCCTGTGGATTCTATCCGATATTTTGTTAATATGTTATCAGTGCCCATATGAATTACTTACCTATGAGAAGTAACTATATATGCCAATATAATGGAATCGGGCTTTCAGTTCAGTTTTAAAAAGTTCATATTATACTGTAATCGTAAATCATTCCGTTTCAAACGAGGTATCGATGATAGATTAAGGATGAAATTTAGTACAAGCAACACAAAACGGACAAAAAGTATTTAAAAATGGGGGGGGGGGGGGGGGGGTACTGACAATTTGAGACAGCTTGCCTGTGGATTCTATCCGATATTTTGTTAATATGTTATCAGTGCCCATATGAATTACTTACCTATGAGAAGTAACTATATATGCCAATATAATGGAATCGGGCTTTCAGTTCAGTTTTAAAAAGTTCATATATACTGTAATCGTAAATCATTCCGTTTCAAACGAGGTATCGATGATAGATTAAGGATGAAATTTAGTTATTGGTATATATACATAAAATATATCTGTTAGACCCTAACTATATATTGTTTGTTTGTTTTTTGTTTGTTTTTTTGTTTGCCTGTCCGATTTTCTCCATGAAAATGTGAGCTAATTTAAAATATGTACCTTCCGGTCAGGGGCAGATGATAGATCTATGAATTTTTTTTGTCATTATAAAGTGGCACAATTTTTTCTTCTTCATAAATCTGACAAGAAAAAAAAGAGGATTAAGAGGTGCCTTCGTGTATATTCCAAACCTATGTGACAAGCAACACAAAACGGACAAAAAACGGGCGTTTTTTTTTTTTTTTTTGGTGGGGGGGGGGGGGGGGCGGGGGGGGGGGGCAAACATGCGTTCCCCCCCCCCACACTTTTTGGTTGAGGGGCATCTGCCCCCCTGCCCCCACTTCTGGCGCCTATGGGCCTACTAAATAAACAGTGCAAGTACTAAACGGAAAATAAAATCCACTTGAGTTTTAAAGGGAAATGGACCGGATATATCCTCCTCCCCCCCCTCCCATCCATCCTCGGTGCCCTCGGTCACAGCATGATCCATCCGAAAATGAATAACAGTCATGTATAATGTCGCATTAAACATTATATAAACATTTTGGAGAAAATCATCCAACGACGATGGAAACGCCATTAATCTCAACAACAACGATTTTGCATTCAAAACCACACTTGGCATTCTATAGTTTAAATATTCGTGCCATTGCCGTCTACGTCGTATTTGCGTGCATGCTATACTATACGGTACCCGCGGGAAATTTGTACAGGGCTCGACCGAGCTCCCTAGCCAAGGCATCGGGTGGTGATCGGCACGGCTACGTACTGGGTACGGGTACAGTCAGCTATACTAAGTCGGCTAATTTATAGCTAGATCGAGATCTATCTAGCTGAGCTCAGCTGTAAGTTGGTGTTCAAACTATAGCCTCTGCTGTAACTGGTACGGTACTGGTGATTTGGCATTGGACAACGATCAAATATACACCATGAGTTGGGACGTTATTGCACTCGATTTTGGTAGCGAAGAAACCGCTAACTTTGGAACTCGTCAAGAGTCAGGAACGGCTCTTTTCCAAGTGCAAACTTTGGCTACAATTTCCAATTCAAGTCATGAAACGGTAACTATGAATGAGTTTAAACTATGGTAGACCTCTATGATGATAACTAGACCGAAAATTTCGTTTCCTTCGTCTGTTCGTTAGCCTCTGATTTGGGTAGGGTCGGCTCCTCTCTTTGACGAACCGACCCTACCAAAATCAGACTTGGACTGGAGGCTAACGAACGAAAGAGACAGAAATTTCGGTCTAGATGATGATACTAATATTACTAGCAGAGCTACCAAGTATCATGCATTAGGCGTGACATCACGCATTTCGAGGGTCTGAAAATGCTCTTTCGCACGACGCGCGCGCTAGATTTTGAAAAAACGCTATAGGTCTAGGGGGTCTACAGTAGGGGCGCTGGTCCGAGAATAAGGATCGTCTTCATAAACGAGGATTGTCTTCGTAAACACGGACCGATGCGTCCTCAAAAATAAGGACCGTCTGCATTTTTGCAGACGTTTCATATTTTTGATCGGTGCATTGGCGATGCAAAAAACGGATTCTGCAATGATTTTCTTGATGCATTTTACATTGACATTGTACAGAGACTTTTACATTATAAGCAATAAATCCTTGGGAAGACGGACAACCCATAAAAGTAGACGGTGAACTAGGGTTATTTTCCCCCGGGGAATCCATTTTTGGCATCGCCAGCAGGCCGTTCTGTAACATGAAACCCCCAGAGCGCCGATGAAAAAAAACGTCCTCAAAAATGCAGACAACCCTTATTTTTGAGGACCCATTTTGTCCTCGTTTATGAGGATATCCTTGTTTATGAGGACGATCCTCATTCTTGGACCAGCGCCCCTACTGGTCTAGGCCTACATCATGTACCTTATGTTGTTGATGAAATTGACGATAAATTGACGATATACGTGTGCTATACCCTCGCGCGCCAAATCATGAAAATGTCACGCATTGCCGATCTTTGAATTTGGCGTCTCTGTACTAGGCTTTACTTTTGTTCATGATCATGATGATGAGTTTGGTTATTGACTATTTTTGTCCAACAGAGAATAGCCATTCAATACATAGGCCTACATGTCACATGTCGATCACAAAGAACTTTGCACATTGATTGAGGGCTGTAGCCAGGCTACAGAGTACAGTACAGTAGGTTTACGCGCTCTCATTGGCCGATTAGCTCAAGTGGCTTTGAATTTAAGTGAGAGAGGGCCTAGAATACTTAACTCAAGTTGAATGTCAAAGTCAATATGAAAATTATGACGTCACACACCACACAGATTTTGACATGTCATGCTTTAATTTAATAAACAGGTGACGCACTTCACACGTAACTGACGCACACACATAAAAATATAGAAAAATCAACAAACGTGTCAGAATAAATTTCCAGTTTGTACCTTAAATATGACGAAAATGAGAATTGTTCAAACTTGACAAATAGTTTAATATGTAAGACTTAAACTTAAAAGTGAAATACTTAACCTTTTAAGGATGCTGAAAAAAATCATAACAAATGGGGTCTAGGCCTAGAGGGTTTGACTGAAATATCATAATTTTGGTGTTGGGTGAAACGGAAAAGTGCAAGCTTTCTCCTCGCACAAATATCTTATAACATTGAGTGAATGGGAGTCAGCAATAGCCAATAAGAAGGGCCCTTGTCGGCGCCAATTTAGTAAAATGAGTCTGCAATTTGCTGGGATCGGATGAACGTTCTGCGCATGCATTAAATGTAAGCTAAAGTAATTCTGCATGCATGATGTGATTGTGACATAGACTAGTATAGCACTTAGCGCAGTGTTTGCCATAGATCTACTTGTATTTGTTAGTTACTATTTTTTTCTCTAGTCTCTTCTTTCTAGAACTATACATAGGGTCTACTTATTTCACATCATTTGCTTATTCACTTACATATTCATCACTTGACCCAATTCCTTCATCCATTCATCTCTACATACCAAGTCGCCCATTTCACCTGGTTTGTTCCTTTGTTCTCTTCTCATTCTTTTTTCATGGATCTTAGGTATTCTCACTTCTTACTTATCAGTGGTTCTTTTCTCCTTTTTATTTTAAATATTCAGTCTTACTTCTAAATTTTGCGCTATTGGTTAATGATGTATTTCATTTGAATATACTTTTATGTTGGAGATTTAGGAGACAGGATTGATTTAAGTTTGGCAGTGGTTTGTAGATGATTGGTGTTTTAGAGATTGGTGAGGGGTCATTTTATTAGATTACAGGCTTACAGCAGCATCATGCAAGACAATCTCACATTGAGTAGTCTTAACTGACAATTTACATATGAAATGATGAGAGCATGCTAGAGAATTTAACGTTAAACAGTCTAATTTGAGAATTTACAAATGTAAGTTGTAAAGGTGAAGGCATGCAAGAAAATTTAAAAATGAGTAGTTTAGTCTCAATCGAGAATTTACATATGAAATGATGAAGGCATGCAACGAAATTCACATTGAGTACGTCTTACCTCAACAGTCTAATTTGATAATTTACAAATGTAAAGGTAAAGGCATGCAAGAAGAATTTAACAATGAGTAGTTTAGTCTCATTCGAGAATTTACATATGAAATGATGAAGGCATGCAACGAAATTCAAATTGAGTACGTCTTACCTCAAGTGTCAAGACTATTGACTTGTTTCTCTTTTATGCCAGATTTCTACTGAAGTGGGTACCCCTTGTAAAAAAAATGAAGATTATCATTAATAGAAAAGACATTGAAGAATATGTTACCCAAGAAATCTGGCTGGCTGGCTCTCTGCCTACAATTTTACAAACCAATGTTTCAATGATCCAATCAGACCCAGGTATGAAAGTGAGAGGATTATGGTTGGTCCCAGTCATAAATAATCAGATCATTGGCCGTTTACAAAGAACAGCCTGAAAATTTTACTCGATCAAGGTTACACTAGGAAGTGTTTGGAAATAAGATAGACCTACTAATAATATACTATCTTTCTCGTGTCTAAAGAGCAAATATTTTTCAAGAATTTTGCTGATTATGCTGACTTTTTTTCCTCTTATAAAGATAAACTTGAGTTAGGGTAAAAAAAAAAAAAAATTCTCACAGAATTAAACGAATACACTGAATGTTCAAGATTACAAATAAATGTCATTTGCTAAACAATTTTGTTTCTGGCTGAATAATGAGCATAGAAAGATATGGAAATCAAGGTAAGTAGGCCTGACACCATTTGTGTAGTCCCATGTGCATCTTTCTGTGTACAGTGCTTGTTACTTTACCAAGACTGGGCCAATTATGATTTTGATGACTCCAGAACATTGCAGTACACACCAATACTAACATGCTACATGATCAACTTTTTCTGATCCATTCCACACCTTTTCTTTCACAATGCAATCGTATGACCAGCGAACTCAACTCTGTCTTTTAGGTTGACTCCAGTAGAGGTCAATTGCTACAAATGTGAATATATGTTTGTTTATAATTAATATTCGCCATCTCTTTGTTATTTTATTCAAGGTCACTCGCCTTCCTCATGTCACAGCATCAGGCTCTCAGGCTGGTATGTGTGTTACAGCAGATACAAATGCTTCTTTGTTCAATGATGGTTGCCAGGCCCTGAGCGCTGCTCTAAGTTTTGGTAAGTCAAGCGATAAGCTGCGTTTAAGCTCACAATCATAATTGCCTCCAGATCACGGGCAGATACTGCTTGTCACAAACAAGTAGAAAGAGATAAGATGGAGAAGAATGAGATAAAGTTTGTTTGTTCTTGTCTCCTTAGATCACAATAGTTATGTAAAGTTCCTTAATTAAATTGAATTAAATTAAATGAAGTTCTTCCATCGCCCGCTTGCTGCAATGGCCATTTCATTAACGAGGGCCAGGTCTTCATCTGTGCAACCCACCTTGAAGATCAAGATGAGACAAAGTAAAAGAAGGAGAAGAAGAGAAAGAAGAAGATGAAGGAGAAGATGAAGGAGAAAAAGGGAAGGGAAGAAAGCAAATGAGGAGGAGAATAAAAAGATGAAGAAGGAAGAGAAAGAGAAGGAAAAGGACAACGGTAATGGAGCTATCAAATAGGCCCAGAAATATTTCATGAAGCTTACATGTATATGTCATGGGCTGAAAATTTGCAAGTCAAAGTGGCTCCGTTCTTCCATGAACTATTTTGAAATTCAGGAGTTCTACATGTATGCCCCCTTCATTTCATAATTCTTTTCTGTATGTATTAATCACTTCTATCATATTAATAAAGCTATTCTAGGTTTACACAGACCCCTTTAATCAATCTTCTGACATGTTTACGTTTTTTCAGAGTCTGTGATAGAACTCGCAGCTTGGGCAAATGACCTGCCATTCTTGATCATTGCTGAAAGAAACGGAACCGTCCATGTGTACCATAGCGGCTTGAACAAGCTTCTCATCTCACAGGTACGGTCTTCACTCACAAGGTCAAAGGTCAATGGTCAATTTTGAAGAATATTACTTTGTTGCTGTTGTCCTTTTTGACATAACTTGAAAATGTATTCAGGGATACATCACCCTGCATAATTTTAGTCATGTGTAAGTGCCCAAACTCACGATTTTTCGAATCGATTCTTTTGACCAAACAATGCATAACATTTGTTATTGGACTTTACTAAGTTGAATTGTTGCATCATTTTATTCCAGTCCCAACAGATTCAACTTATGCACACTTATGTGAGTTACCTCTGGCGGAGGCATTAATATTTTAAAAATGATTCTGAAATATAGAATGGTTCTGCTATGTCATTTTATACTGATAGTTATTTAGAAAACTACATGGGGTATGGACTATGTTGCGTGTTAACTAGTAATCCCACATAATTCCTTTTTTAATTAAACTACTAAAAAGCAGTATCCCTCCAGACAATAAAACACTTAATAAATGATCACATCCAGACAAATTGATTATGGTGAAAAACTGGTTCTATATTCTATAATTTCACATAAGATACAATGATTACAGAATTATCAGAAACCTCTTCTGTCTATCTCAACAGTGACAGACAATTAAACTATCACTAGGCCCTTGGTAGTTACTATTAATAATCAAACATAGATAACTTCCAACAGCACATTAATGTAAAGGAGACTCAACTTAGTCACTATGGTATTAATGATTACCGCTTAATACAAGTCTCGAAATATCAGGAGTCCTGTTCAGTACAACTTAAGACAGTACTAAAACAAGTCAGTTAAATATCATTCACACTGCATGAATAATAACAGTCAAGAAAATACTACTCAAATCTAAGCTAGATAGCGTTTAGATTTACTTACATAGGCAAGAAATATTGTGGTTCAAGAAACCACTAAACAAATCTCTACTTGTGTATGTGTACGGAATGCACAACACTAGAATACAACAATATATCGGTGGATCTAGATATAGCAGATCTAGATCAGTAGACCAGGCATAGGCCTAGAACTAGTGCAATTATAAACATGTAAAATATGTGTTAGTAAGCGTACGCACTCACAACAGGCACTCATGCAGTCAGTCAAAATAAGGCATCACAATGATAAACAATGCAATGCATAAATCACAATATAATTAACGTTACGTGAGTCATCGGAGTTGAATTCAGAGTAGATCTTCTTCAAGTTCTAGATAGATGTAGAAACTAGCTAGTCGAAAACGGTGGTCGATGAGCTGGTTGTCGATCGCGTAGGATATATGCAGACGATGATCGACGCTAGGTGAATACCACGATGATGAAGACGATGTTGAAGACAACGATGATGACAATGATGATGAAGACGACGCTGGTGAAGACAGCGATGATGAAGTCGACAATGAAGACGACGCTGGTGAAGACAGCGATGATGAAGTCGACGATATGGAGACAACGATGATGAAGACGATGATGAATCAGTATAAACAGCTGAATACAATGATGATGCAGTCAATGTCAATAGATCAACTTCAGTGACTTGCGATGCAGGTCGAAGAATCAAATGTCGAGACAATATATATATCATATGAAGTCGATGATAAAAGGTTGTCAAACAATAATGCAGGTGAGAAAAAACGTTAGATCATATTAAATGTTCTATTCTCACTGCTGGTGAATTAAAGTGTCGTCAATGCTGAACATCGAGAGAGTCAAAATATATCTTGTAAAACGTACAAGATGTAAATAGGTGAGCCCGTCCACCGGGAATGGTCCGGGGACGTAGCAGTTCAATCCTCGTTGGATACAATTTTTCAGGTACAAATATCAACACAATAACAGCATGTGTGTATACCAATATTAAAACAGCTCACTGATTCCCGCACAGGAAAATCAGAAGAGCGCCAATCAACTACAGCGCGATTGGTTCAAAACAAGCGCACATGTATGTTAATAAGGCACGTGATCTAAATACTTATGAATAAATACGCGTACATCTATGTTAATTGGTCATGTGATGAAAATACTAATGAATAAACATCGTTATATAATAAATCGAGTTAAAACCAGTTCTGAGGACATGGCGTAATACCAAATCCTCGAACTCTCAATGACTTCTTAAGCGGCCATTTTGGATTAAAAACACAATATGTATACCAGTGAATTATAAATGAATGCACTGTAACATTTGTCGCTACATTAACCCCCCTACTAGACCCGAGCTTGCGTAAGCTCCGAGGGGCGAAAATACACAATTAAAAATATAAAGGAAACATATGTACAAAATACATTAATATACATGAAAATAACCACTATTTATGCGACACGTTCAATGTAGTGAACCTGAACGTACCTCTGCGGCCAGTGGACGTGGCGGCCTGAACGTGTGACACGCGCAGCAGGTTGCGATTTCACCAGAGCAGGAGCAGGCGTAGGAGCAGGTGCAGGAGCAGGCGCAAAAGTTGCGCGAAGTGCTGTGCGCAAAGGGGAGGAGACGGTAGGCTCTCCCTCTAGAGGCACGTCAGCCGCGGTAGTCCTAGCCGAAACGCTTTCCAAAAATGCGGGTTTCAGTCGATCAATGCTTACAGAAACATGCTTGCCCTTTTGCTCAATAACGAAAAACTTCGGGTTTCGTTTGAGAACCTTGAACGGACCCAAATACGGAGGCTGTAATGGCTTACGGACAGCATCGATACGCAAGAAAATATGCGTACAAGTATCGAGAGACCTATGTACAAAACTGGTCTGTGATGACCTACGTGTCGCTGTAGGCGCTAAAACAGACATATGGTCCTTCAAGCGTTGGACGTAGTCCGCGGGGTCAACAGTATCGTGTCGCGTAGGCACTATCAGCTGGCCTGGAAGACGCAACGCCGTCCCGTAGACTAGTTCGGCAGCGGAAGCTCCGATGTCTTCCTTAATAGCTGCGCGGATACCCAACATGACCAAAGGAAGGTATTCTTGCCAACGGTTCGGCTCGGGTTGAGATTTGAGAGAGGCTTTAAGTTGCCGATGGAACCGTTCCACCATACCGTTGGCCTGCGGGTGGTAGGCCGTGGTGGCTATGGTCCGACAACCTAGCAAATTAGCTAATGCAGTGAAAAGCGCAGATTGAAACTGACGACCTCGATCATGCGTAATCGTGGCTGGAGCTCCAAAGCGAGCTACCCAGTTCTCCACTAGAGCTATGGCTACTGTCTCGGCAGTGGCATCCGCTATCGGGATCGCTTCGGGCCAACGGGTGAACCTGTCGATACAAGTCAGCAGATAAATGTGCCCTTTCGAGGGCGGTAGTGGCCCAACAAGATCAATATGAACGTGTGCAAAACGGGCATCGGGGTTGGCAAAAGTGCCAAGCGGTGAGTGCGTATGACGTTGGATCTTTGCGCGCTGACATGGGATGCAAGTACGCGCCCATGTACAAATGTCCTTGTTCATACCCCGCCACACAAAACGGGCCGCTATAAGCTTTTGCGAAGCTTTAATGCCCGGATGCGCGAGATTGTGCAGATTGTCAAACAACGATCGACGGTGCGCTACCGATACATACGGCCGCGGATGCCCTGTGGACATGTCGCACCAAATGTGCGCGTCCCCTTCCGGAAGGAGGACCTTCTCAAATTTGAGCGAGGTTGACGTGTCTGAGCGCAGAGCAGCGAGCTCAACGTCATCGACTTGGTCGGTCGCGACTACACGCAGGTTAATCAAGTTCGGTAATTGCACTGAGTCAATCTCGGTGCGAGAAAGTGCATCAGCTACCTGATTATCAACGCCTCGAATATGGCGTATGTCGGAGGTAAACTGTGACACGTAATCGAGTTGCCGCGCTTCCCTAGGGGAATGTCGATCGGGCGATGTCTTGAGTGCGAAGGTAAGAGGCTTGTGGTCTGTAAAAACAAAAAAATCACGCCCCTCTAAGAAGTATCGGAAATGGCGTATTCCGAGGTAAATGGCTAGCAGCTCTCGACCAAAGGTACTATACCTAGTCTCGGGAGGCTTGAGGCGGCGAGAAAAGAACGCAAGCGGTCGCCACTCCCCTTCATGGAGTTGCTGTAACACACCACCTACGGCGAGATCGGAAGCGTCTACCGCGAGGCTTGTAGGTAGCTCAACAGACGGGTATGTAAGCATCGTGACGTTCGCGAGGTCCTCTTTGACAGCCGCGAAAGCAGAGTCGCACACAGGGGACCAATCTAACGCCTTTCGAGAGCGCTTAGGTTGCTTGCGCAGCAAATCAGTCAAGGCGGCCAGCGAGGATGCGCACTTAGGCATAAATCGGCGGTAAAAATTAACCATGCCTAAGAACCGGCGCAGCTGGCGTAGCGAGGTAGGGCGCGGAAATTTGCGAATTACCGCGACCTTGTCATCCATCGGGGAGACGCCCTGGGCATTCACATGGTGCCCTAGAAAGTCTAGTGCTTCGACTCCAAACTGGCATTTGTCAGGATGCACTACTACTCCATAATCACGGAGGCTTGTGAACAGCTGGCGCAAATGAGTCTGGTGCTGTTCGGGATTCTCGCTGGCAACAAGAATATCATCAAGATACACGAATACAAATGGCAGGTCACGGACGACCCTATCAATAAACCTTTGAAAGGTTTGCGCCGCGTTGCGTAGTCCGAATGGCATGCGTCGGAAATGGAATAACCCAAAAGGGGTTGTCAGCGCGGTCTTCTTCACATCATCAGGGTGTACGGGGATCTGATGATATGCGCGCACTAAGTCAACTTTGGAAAATACGCACTTGTCTCGCAACTGTGCGGCAAAGTCGTGAAGGTGCGGAATGGGATAGCGATCCGGGACGGTCACGCGATTAAGAGCGCGGTAATCGCCACATGGTCGCCAACCGCCTGACTTCTTTGGCACCATGTGGAGCGGCGACGCCCATGAACTGTCTGAGGGCTCGACAATGCCCAAATCGAGTAACCGGCCAAACTCGTCTTTAGCGATCTTGTGTTTGTCCGGCGCTAAGCGTCGAGGTCGTGCCGAAACTGGTGGGCCGGTTGTGAGTATTCTATGTGTGACGTCATGTTTCAACGGACAGTTCTTAAACATGGGCCGAGTTACTTCCGTGAACTCGGCAAGTAAGCGTTTATAGACAGAATCGGAGTCTACTTGCACTATTGTGAGATTCAGCGACGGTAAGTCGGAGGCGATGCCATGTACGGACAGACTAGTGGTGGCATCCCAAAGTCGGTTGGTGCGCAAATCCACTAGTAAGCCGTAATGTCTCAAAAAATCTGCGCCGAGGATAGGCTGCGAAACATCGGCCAATATGAATGACCACTTAAACGAACGCCGCAACCCAATACACACTGTGAGCTCACGCTGCCCATATGTGCATATGCGCGTCTTGTTTGCAGCCTGCAAAACGAGTGGCATAAGGTGCCTCTTATCAGCGGTGTTGGCAGGAATTACGCTTACCGCGGCACCCGTATCGACCAAAAATCGTGTCCCAGAATCTCTATCTGTGACATAGAACAAGCGACCGTCACGAAGAGGGCCAGTGAGGGGTGTCGCGCCCACCTCCTGGCCTAGTTGTTTTCCGCCGGCTTGCTATATATGCATGGCGGGCGGCACTGGTGAGCCTTGTCACCCCACTTCTCATGATACCAGCAAACTTCAGAAGTGCTCGCTGATTTATAGCCGGATGAGTCGCGCTTCCTGTTGCTGCTCATGCTTCTCATGCTGCTGCTTCGGCTCCGCATGCAACCGATAGTGGCGGTCAATTCCTTGACCAATTTCGTGAGCGCAGCAACTTGGTGCTGAAGAGTATTGGGTTCAGTCATGACGCCGCGCCACGCCCACTGTTCACACAACTAAATTCAATGTATCAGTAAGAAATGTGATTATCTAATGGTAAAAAAAAAATATTAATAAGCAAAGGTAATCTAACTAAATGTTTCTTATCTCAGGGGGATCACGTCGGGGTCACCAATTTAGAAAACTACATGGGGTATGGACTATGTTGCGTGTTAACTAGTAATCCCACATAATTCCTTTTTTAATTAAACTACTAAAAAGCAGTATCCCTCCAGACAATAAAACACTTAATAAATGATCACATCCAGACAAATTGATTATGGTGAAAAACTGGTTAACACGCAACATAGTCCATACCCCATGTAGTTTTCTAAATTCTATAATTTCACATAAGATACAATGATTACAGAATTATCAGAAACCTCTTCTGTCTATCTCAACAGTGACAGACAATTAAACTATCACTAGGCCCTTGGTAGTTACTATTAATAATCAAACATAGATAACTTCCAACAGCACATTAATGTAAAGGAGACTCAACTTAGTCACTATGGTATTAATGATTACCGCTTAATACAAGTCTCGAAATATCAGGAGTCCTGTTCAGTACAACTTAAGACAGTACTAAAACAAGTCAGTTAAATATCATTCACACTGCATGAATAATAACAGTCAAGAAAATACTACTCAAATCTAAGCTAGATAGCGTTTAGATTTACTTACATAGGCAAGAAATATTGTGGTTCAAGAAACCACTAAACAAATCTCTACTTGTGTATGTGTACGGAATGCACAACACTAGAATACAACAATATATCGGTGGATCTAGATATAGCAGATCTAGATCAGTAGACCAGGCATAGGCCTAGAACTAGTGCAATTATAAACATGTAAAATATGTGTTAGTAAGCGTACGCACTCACAACAGGCACTCATGCAGTCAGTCAAAATAAGGCATCACAATGATAAACAATGCAATGCATAAATCACAATATAATTAACGTTACGTGAGTCATCGGAGTTGAATTCAGAGTAGATCTTCTTCAAGTTCTAGATAGATGTAGAAACTAGCTAGTCGAAAACGGTGGTCGATGAGCTGGTTGTCGATCGCGTAGGATATATGCAGACGATGATCGACGCTAGGTGAATACCACGATGATGAAGACGATGTTGAAGACAACGATGATGACAATGATGATGAAGACGACGCTGGTGAAGACAGCGATGATGAAGTCGACGATGAAGACGACGCTGGTGAAGACAGCGATGATGAAGTCGACGATATGGAGACAACGATGATGAAGACGATGATGAATCAGTATAAACAGCTGAATACAATGATGATGCAGTCAATGTCAATAGATCAACTTCAGTGACTTGCGATGCAGGTCGAAGAATCAAATGTCGAGACAATATATATATCATATGAAGTCGATGATAAAAGGTTGTCAAACAATAATGCAGGTGAGAAAAAACGTTAGATCATATTAAATGTTCTATTCTCACTGCTGGTGAATTAAAGTGTCGTCAATGCTGAACATCGAGAGAGTCAAAATATATCTTGTAAAACGTACAAGATGTAAATAGGTGAGCTCGTCCACCGGGAATGGTCCGGGGACGTAGCAGTTCAATCCTCGTTGGATACAATTTTTCAGGTACAAATATCAACACAATAACAGCATGTGTGTATACCAATATTAAAACAGCTCACTGATTCCCGCACAGGAAAATCAGAAGAGCGCCAATCAACTACAGCGCGATTGGTTCAAAACAAGCGCACATGTATGTTAATAAGGCACGTGATCTAAATACTTATGAATAAATACGCGTACATCTATGTTAATTGGTCATGTGATGAAAATACTAATGAATAAACATCGTTATATAATAAATCGAGTTAAAACCAGTTCTGGGGACATGGCGTAATACCAAATCCTCGAACTCTCAATGACTTCTTAAGCGGCCATTTTGGATTAAAAACACAATATGTATACCAGTGAATTATAAATGAATGCACTGTAACATTTGTCGCTACAGTTATATCAATGACTGTTTTTCTTCAATTTCTATATCTTTTTGCTTCACTATAGACACTACTGGAAAGAAGCGAGGATGAATTGGACAGTGTCTGTTTTAAACAGATCAGCATTACGGAGGATACGGAAGGTAGATTGATATTTATTTGTCACTTTTTTTACCATAGCCCACTATAATGCCTCTGTTGCTAACACCAGTGCTAGTGCTACAGATATTGTTATAGACTGCTAATACAACTACTCCCATTACCACCACCACTACCACCACCACAACCATCACCACTGTCACCCCAAACAAAGCCACTAGCATCGCCACCATCACCACCACCACCAACTTCATCTCAGTCGGTAGAGCAGTGGTCTCGTAATCCGGTGACCCGGGTTAAAAACCAAGGCGATAGGACCTAAACTGTCGGCCGTCTGGTTGCTTACTAACAAGCATTTATGCTTTCTTAGCAGTCAGGTAAAATAACCACCACCATACATTATATACCACCATCTGTATCATTACCACCACCTCCAACTCCAGCAACATTCCCAACTTCACTACCACCTCCACCACCATCACCAACACCACCAAAAAGAATAGGGTACTGATTGTGAGATGGAAAAACTATCCACAATGGTGCAAGATATAGTGTTCAATTTAAATTGTTACACCATCTCATTCTTAGAACATTTATTAAATAATATCTACTTATTCTCAAAAGGGAACATTGAAGAAGTTATTTCATAAAGTACTTTAATAATGAATCATTATTTGATAATATCTCATTGGTAGCATTCAATAACATGATTACCTCTTTTGCTACCTACAGGTAAACATGTCATTCTGCTGTTAGCATCAACAAGCATGCTGTTCAGGCTGTCCAATGTAGACCTGAGGAAACTTCATGACGGTGAGTATAACTCTACTATCCCTGTTTTCTAAGATCATGATTAAGCATAGAAATGTTGTAGTTGTGTGGTTTAAATACTTGACTGTAGATGCGAAGGTCGTAGGTTCAAACACAGGCTCAGCACTTATATCGTTTGGCAAGATATCAATCTACATTTGCCACCCCTCCATCCAGACGTTGAATTGGTCTTTAACAGGAATTAATTCCTTGAATGCTGTGAGTGCTCTCCCCCCTCCCCCAAAAAATAATAAAATAAAGAGCAGTGATAATATTGGAGCACCTTGAGCACCTTACAGGTGGATATGAGTGCTATACAAGTTTCCAATATCATTGTTATTAAGCATATATTGTCATGATATTGGATTTTACTGTAAAATAGTCCATTAAAAAATGATTATGACAAAAGGGAGTGAAATATGATTTTTTTTTTAAATATAGGTTTTGATAATATTATTTTTGTATGTTATACTGTGTGCTGAGGTTTGATCTATGCATATTAATCTGATTAAATCATTTTGTTTGTTATTACAGTGATCCAGAATGGAGACTTAGCATCTGCCAAACAGGTAACAAAAACTATGTTTGGCCACAATCTGAGGCTCAGTACACTCACTTGTGTACTGGACTGCTGATTTTTCAGGTCATGGTTCAAAGTTATATATTGTGTTTATGAAAATGTAGAAATTAAACTTTGAACTGTGGTTTTGTGTTACCCATTGTAAATATTATTCATCGTAAATTTAAATCTCTGTTATATTCTATGAAGCTGCAAGTTCTGATTGCATTGAACGAAACAGACTTGTCTGATATTATTCATTGTATTAATGTTGTTTATTGTAAATGTCCTTAATAGTAAAATGTCATTATTTATTAAAATGTAAATCTCTTTGTCATGTTCCATGAAGCTGCAAGGAGAGATTGCTTTGGACGAAACAGATTTGTCTGCTGTCCACGAGGAGGGTGTCACTGACCTAGCAACCATTGTTGTGGGTGGACAGATACATATTGTGACTGCTGTAAGTGAAAACACCCCCATCCCACGACATGTGACAAGTTAGATGTATTTCAGGGCATTGTTTCACAAAACCGTCATACGTACAAGTTCAATGATATCCCATTGAAATACGTGTATCATGTTCAAAGACGCATTTCAATGGGATGACGATGTACTTGTGTTTTTGACGGTTTCGTGAAATAATGCCCAGGAATGTAACTGCCTAATATTATCAGGCAGTGGGAATTGGATAATCAATTTTGTTGTTGACAGTGTTAAGCTAGTTGTAGAAGAGATGTCTTAATTAGAAATAGATGTCAATGTTCACACGGCTCAAAGAACTGCTTGATTGAATATGTGTCATAAATTCAACGGGTTCATGTGGGAATGCTCTGATGTATGCTCCAGGTTTGAGTTTGTTCGAGATATGGGGTAAAGATTAAGGTTGCAATTTGGTTTTAGGTTGGGTTTAGGCATAAGGTTAGGCCTAGGTATGATGTTTGATGTAGGATTTTAGTCAAGAATTTGGTTAATGTAGGATACAACCCCACACGAAGTCTTCGCTCCTCATCAGACACACTATTACTTAATACACCCAGAATAAAACATGCTTGGGGTGAACGGGCTTTCTCAGCCATGGGTCCAAAACTGTGGAATAAGCTCCCTCTAAAATTACGTCAACTGTCATCGACAGAAACATTCAAATTACAACTAAAAACCTATTTGTTTCTTTCGTTGTAATTATTGCAATATTTTAATTTACTATGTCTAGGAGAATTCTGAATTTGTTTTTCGGTTTATTGTTTTTTCTTCTTATGCCTGTTACATGTACTCTTTTCTAAGTGCCATGAGCACCGAAAGGTGGACCTGTGCGCTATACAAGTAGCCACTATTATTATTATTATTATTATTAACCCATTGCCTACTGGAACTGTGTGGTTCGTGTGTTAAATCTATGGGAATGAAGGAGTTTAGAAGTCAAAAGAACTTAAATGACAGAGCAACTGTTGCTGGAGTATGTGTCATACATTACCGCCTTCTTTTTGTGCAGCACACAGTATACTAGAATTTTTCAGACTTTGTAGCACAGTAAGAAACTGTGCAATACATGTAATAACTGTTTGTAGATGGCAATAGAACATATATTTCTATGGACTACCCACATTCACTTGATTATTATTTTATTAATTAATGAATGGATAATAATTCCCTGCGCAAAATTCTCCTCTCGATTCAGAAATTCGAATTTACAATCCATGAAGTTGAAAATCAATCTAAATATCTGTACAATGCAATGACACTACCTGTTTTGTAATGCTACATGTATGTGTGTAATCTTTGTCAATTCAGGGTGGAGGTGAATATGTTTTGGCCATTTGGAAATGTCAGAAGCGGATAACTGTTCGCAGAAGACTGAAGAAAAATATGTTCATGGGTGAGTCTACTTGTCTGTTTTGTGTTTATTTTCACCAGTGTCTTCTTGGAACATATGTGGGAAAAGAGTTTTATTATGAGGCGCCATAGAAGAGGACAGATTCTGCTCAATTATAGTTTAACTTAGCGCAAATGAAACTTGAAGATGAAAGCAATGTCAGCCCATTTTTTATTTTGACTATATTCTAGGTCTTTTTGTTTTCATTCCAGTTTACAGGTCTGTAGTTTTTTTTTGCCACTGCCCGAAAAATTAAACTGTTGGTATTTGCATTTTGAATTTCTGTTACTTCCGATATGATATTGATAAACAGATTTTTTGCTTGTTTTCATTTTGATATTTCTTTATGTCTGAAATTAAATAATACTTTGTTTCTATCTCCATTCAGCTGGAGAACAACTCATCAAATGTGTTGTTAGTGGGAAATACATCTTTACTTTAGATGACGAGGTAACACATGTTATTGCTGTTTATATTTTTGACCCCTTCCCCCTGCTCTCAATTTAACTTTCTCTCTCTCTCTATCTATGTTCTACTTCCTTTCCTTTTTAACTTCCTCTCTCTGTGTCTCTCCCTTGCTCCCTTTCTCTTTCCCTCTCTGTCTCTTCCTCTTTCTCTCTCACTCTTACTTTGTTCTCCTCCTCCCCCTCTCTTTGTCTTTGTCACTCACTGTATGTGTCCTCTTAATTTTGTTGTATTTTCCGTACAATAACCATAGCACGGTGCAGCACCCATCCCCATTATGAAGTGGGGCGTTACACCACGGGGGAAAGTGTACCAGCAAGTTTTGCAGCATTGTTAAAACCAATTCCAATGATCACATGAATTTTGGCTAGTGTATGCCATGACCAATGCCAACAAGTATCATTGATAACAGTATGAACTGACCTATTTGCCCCCTTTTTCACCCATGTATCTACACGACAATGATGGTTAATATTAAAGTAGAAGTGACGTGGTCTAGTGGATACGTCACTGGACGGTGGATCACATCATTTGTTGGTCGAGTCGTTCCGTGGCACTGCCCTTTGGCAAGCCATTAATTTGCATTTGCCACTCTCCACTCAGGTGAAGTATATGGGTAACCGGTAGGAAGAAATTCCTTGAATGCTTAAGCGCCTTTCATGGCAGCTCAGCAACAGTCGAGTGAATAATGTGATACTTTGTATTAAACACAGTTAGAGTATATTCATAGTAGCTGCGCTATATAAATGGACTTATTATTATTATTATTATTATTATTACTAATAACAATTGAACATTTTGTCTCATATGCAGCATAAGTTATGTTGTTGGAATTCCTCACTCATCCTCGTATGTGCATGGCCGCTAAAAGTGAGGGATTTCTTTCTCACAGCTGACAACAACAACAGGTGAGTAAGTGCTAGGGTGATCTTTAGCTTCTAAGAAAGTGTATCTCTCATGCATTATGTTTCAAGCATCATGAAAGCTGGCATGGACAAGCATCAGTAGAGTAGAGGTGTTGTGGTCCAGTGGATAAGTCTCCGGTCTGTGAACCACAAGGTACAGGGTTCAAATCCGACCCTGCCGCAGCACTTATGTCCTGTGGCAAGACATTCATCTACATTTGGCATGTGGCAACCATAGGGCAGTTGCATCTTAATGAGAAATGAAAACCTGATGATGCTAATTGTGGCATGTTATTGGAACTTTAAACTCACTTGCTTCCCATATAGGCAAATATTTGCCGATCATCTCAAACTTTATTTGAAATCCAACCATCCACTATTTAGTGGAAAGCCCTGTTTCCAGGTCCCTATATTCAGAGGGGGAATCTTGAATGGTAATCTATCCTATATATGACTGAAATGCTATGATCTTGACTTAGCCTAAAAAAAAACACAAAAAGATCATGTACCTTTAGTTCCATTGGTAGCTTAAATAGGTAGCTTAAATATGGAAATGTAGTTTTCATACATAGATGCATTCGCACACTAAAAGGCTGTGTTGCTGGCATGTTCAGGGAGATGCGACTTGGTCTAGCGGCACGTTCACTCGGTCAGCTTTCTGTCTTCACATACAAACTAGCTCAGGCGACCCCGGTTTGAAACTGAGTCATGTCTGTCGGATGGTGAGGTTAAAGGTCGGTCCCCAGACGTAAATAATCATATCTGATTGATACACGTCTGATAAACCAAATTACACACACATGTATTAAAAAGTATAGTCTGACTTAATTTATGAATGACATTTTGTTTTGTAGTGAGGCAAAACCCCAATTCCAGCTTGTGATGTTGACGGTCCCGGACAAAGGTGAAAGTAACTTGAAAGTTTACGACCTACCCAGCATGCAGTGCACCTATACACTGTCCGTTGGTCCCCTCTCCGTGCTAGCGGACACACCAAACAATCAGGCAAGTTTTTTTTCTTTTCTTCCACAAGTTCTGCAATGTGATTAATAGTTCTGGGGATATGTAGAACATTGCAAAACAAGATTAAAAGAAATTATTTAATAAAAAAAATGATATAAACAATTTAGAATGCCATTATTAATAAATTATTTATGTAAATATTTTCCAGTGTAGACCGCATGCCTTTATCAGAACCATTTGTATGTGAAATGTCAACATTTTTGGGGTGTTTTTCATAACTGAAGAATGAATTAGTGCCTTTGTTGAATTCTTTTAGATGTAAGCTTTAACATGTCACATTCTCGAGAGACTTAAATCAGGACAAATTAATTTTTTACTTACTTAAAAAATTACAAAACTTGGTAAGGGTATGAATAATTTAGTTGTTAACTGTATATTCCTGGCCCTCTCATTATTTGTAATTCCCACATGTTTGTGTCTCATCAATGAAACTTTCTTCCTCATCAATAAAACTTTCTTCCTCTTTATTAACAGGACTCCATTTTCCTGGTAGAGGGGCGCAATGAAGATGAAGATGGTTCCAGCACTGTCGGTATGTTGATGGTACGATGTCTGATGGAGGCGCTACCTGAGACTCGTTTTCATCGTCTCCTGCACAAGAAGGAGTTTGATGAAGCAGAGAAGTTTGCCAAGCTTTTCAGCCTCAACACTGAAGTAAGCAATTTCTGTACATTTTTTCTTGCTCCCTTGTTTAAGCATAGATCGTCGAGGTTGGACCCACAACAATGATATCCAACGCATTTTCAACATAAATAATACAGATTTTAGAACAATATATCTTAATTGATCAATTGAGACCAGCCTTTTATGTTTAAAGGGATAGTTGAGTTCTGTTGCAGAGGGCGCTACACAAAATAATTTTTTTGTGAGATAATGAAAAACTGAGTGTCAAATTTGAAAGAACATAATAATTAAATGACAAAATCATCTTTGTTTGATCAAAATCGGTTCAGAGACGGCTGAAATATAACAATTTCTAATACTTGTGTACCACCACAAATATTAGATATGTTGACAGATTTGAAAAAAACGTTGAAAAAAAAACAACAAAAAAAACGCCTTTTACATCGTATTTCAGCCATTGCCGATGTTGCCTTTTTTGTTGGCATTTTCGTGTTGCTTATATTATCTACAATTAGCCGGCTCATTTATTGTTATTTTTAATTAAATAATTAATTAACGGTCACCGTGTTTTTTCAGATATTTTTTTCAGGAGCTGAATTGGTATGATCGTATTGGCTAAATTCCACACATTTTGGGGTCTAAAATTACCTTCATAGCAATTTTAGGTTCTACAAGGGCACTATAAATGTCATAGATACGAATAAGATCAATAACCATGTACTTTGAAGGCATTTGCGGTCTGAAAACAGAACTCAACTATCCCTTTAACTGGGATGTTTTTCTTCTTTCAGGAGCTACTTGGAAACCAGAGAAAGTGTACTTGATATTAAGCTTTCCTCGCATTCCTATCATCATAGACAGATTTGTCCATCCTTATTACTCTTAAGCAAAAGAATCAACTCAGGGTCGCACAAATTTATCCTGGCATTTAAAGCATCACAACTGAAACTTTGATTTAGTGAGGAAAGCAATAAGATTGCTCATACAGTCTTAAGAAGTGTTAGCAGAAACATTGGGTTGTACTACACACGCTCCTGTAGAATTTGCCCTGTGGTCAATTTTGTACCCGAACCACAGTTCTTACATCAACCCTATACCGAACACTATCCCCAATCCCAAAACTAACCTAACCTAAAACTTGAGCCCGGGAGGAATTGTCCTTAAAATAGCAAAGGTTAGTTCAGCATTGATCCTTGTTATTCTTCAAGGCCCTCTTTCATAAAACTTGTTATGAATAACAAATGCTAAATTTCTATGACAATTTTTCTCTCAGCCAATCAAATGCCATGATTTCAGTACCTTATAACAACTATTGTAACTTTTTACTGATAACAAGTTTTATGAAACAAGGCTCAGATTCATTTTATCGCTTCATGAATAGCAGCACCCATACTTATTTGTTTTTGTTTATTAATTTTGTTTGTATCACTTTGAAGCTTGTCTATCGAAGCAAAGCCTTGGCCCTTCTAGAGCAAGCATCTTCCTGGAGCCCTGCCGCCCTTCGAGGGAGCCCTGTAGGGGATGATAACAAGCTGTGCGGGGACATGATGGCCTGTCTGGAGAAGATCGCTGATGTTGAGTTCGTGGTTGATGTCTGCTCCAAGGCTGCCATGCCTGCCTTTGAAGACACAGCAAGAATCCTGCAATATGCTAGGACTAGGGTGAGTGAAGCACAATGTATAATCCGACGACTGGGAATTGTGATATTATAAATATGTGTTTCCATGAATTCATATGCCAAGTGGAGGCCATTTAAGTGAAGTCAAGAGAAATTAGGGTAACTTTTAATGAAACTCTAAGTTATGTTGACACTCTGAATCTTAGCCAGAACTGGGGTGATTAAAGCACAATGTATAATCCGACGACTGGGGATTATGATATCATAAATATGTGTTTCCATGAATTCATATGCGAAGTGGAGGCCATTAAATAAGTGAAGTCACATCAAAAGCAGGGTAACTTTTAAAGAAATCCTTATGTTGAAACTATGAAGCTCTTGAGAAAGTAATCCATACTGTAGTTTTCATCAGTTTATATTGTACAAACACCAAAATATTTTGTGATATGAAGTGCTTTATTATTTATTTTTGGTAAGTTTTGTTTGGCATAATGAATTTTTGTTGAACCATGGTCCAGATTTTATTTCCAGACAAAGTGTTTACTTTTCTAAATATAAAAGAATTTGGTACTAAACACTTGAAAGATTTTCCCAATATATGGGAATCTCTGATGATATATTGCCAAATTCATTTTTATTCTAGCATCCAAATATATCTGGTTAATTGTAACCAAAGTATTATTCTCAGTATTGGAATTCATCACAATTGTTTGTTACTTTTGCATCTCAAATTTATTTCTCAGCTCGCAAAGAAAAAGGGTAAAGACGAAATGGAAAACAAGACGGAAGATCAGCTCTCTATGGTGAGTCTAGGTCCATGCGGCACTGGTTATGAAAACATCAACATTACTTAAAGGGCAGTCCAACCATTCTGACAAGTTTAGTTGTATGAAAACAGAAAAAAAATACAGGTAGAAAAAAGGAATGGAGAAAGCTGAATGATGTTGGAGAAACAATAAGAAAATAGTGAATTTTTAAATGTTGTAATCATGATACATTTTAAAATCATAAATTGGCAAATAAATCATTTGATTGTGATGTATGTGGGGACACGAGTCCATTTATAGTCAAAATAATTTTTTAATATTTTGGAACAATGTTTTGAAGACTGAAATGTGTTATGAGAGGAAATCTGTACAGCACACTGTACAATGTCCTAACGTGTTTGTTTGTTTTTTTGCATGCAAATGTATAACCCTATTAAATCAAACTTTACTGTTTTGTTTTTATTTCTTGTAAAAGATTCTGGATACATTACACAGACTGGCCACTTTCAGCCTTGTGTATGGAACCAGTGAATACAGGTAAATCAAATCAAACACATGTAGCAAGCTATTATACAATTTCAAATATTGCATTATAGTATTAATGACTGCTTTGAGAGAAATAGTATTTATTATTGCATTGTCTTTAATACACATATTTTATCAGTTGGAGGATAAGTGTTGAATACCTGGCCTATGATACGCAGAACTAGGGTCGATCTGTGGAAATGATTGTCAGAGAGAATCTTGAGCCAATCACACATAATACGATCTAACTGCAATTTTAATTTTCAAAGAAATTCCATTGTCATCGGAAGTAAAGATTAAACATGCATCCCTTATATCTTAAGCATATACTTGCTTTCTTAACAGTCAGTTAAAACAACTCCTAAATCAATAATTAGTTTGTTTAATAGTATTGTTTGTGTAACCTTTTTTTTTGTCCAGCCCAACAAGATGGGATGCTTTCCTGTCAGGATCTATTCTAGATGAGCACTTCCTTCATCTCAGCCAAGCCAACCTCAGCAGAGCTTCAGTCATTTGGAATAGACACAAGGTATGGGCTTGCTTTAAAGCCTCAGACTACCCCCTTAAAAAAGCTACACTACATATTGCTGTACTGTAAAGTGCAAAATTTTAATTGAATCCAATAACAGTGGTAACAATAGTAAAAGCGCTCTGGTCAGTTTCATGTATGCTGGGGGTTGTTTGTGTGGACGTTTACAAAAATAAAGCGACCACTTTTGGATTTAACGAAATTCTATAAATACAGGAACAGGACTCTGATTTTTTGTTTAAACATTGACCGTAAGAATTCTAATAGAATTTTAGGTGGTCGCCAAATATTACTTTACAATGGGTACTAAAGTGTGGCACTTTTGATGTGTACCAAAAATAAATGATTCGGTATTTAATTTAGTCTTGCTTTAGACAGATTACTTTTACACACACACATGTGCATAACTGTTTTTGTACTATACACATATTGACTTGACTTTTGTTTTTGCTCATACCATGATAGGAAGCCTTTGTAGCGGTGATGTCTGAAGACATGCTGGATAACATGCTGAGGTCCATACCAGGGGATTCCCCGTCGTATGACATCATACCATGGCTCAGGGATGACATCATTCCCTTTGTGTATCAGAGCTTCCACCAGGGCAAGGTAAAGTGATGTCATCATTGTCGTATTAAAAGGATTATGAGCAACCAGAAACATCACCAATATCTACAAGTAAATTTATGATGTAGATGTGAAGATACATTGATTTCAGGTTTTGTACATTTGATTATAAAATATCAAAGTTTCATTGCATTTTACAGAGATAATGCTGCTTTGGTAGGTAATGTCACATTTACTCTTGCTCCATGTGCTACAGGCTGCATTTCATCAAAGATGAAAGGCCCTCTCAAGTATTGGGAGCCCCTAAAATTTGATGGCAAAATTTCACTTGATTTGTACAATGATGTGAACGAGGATGTCATTTAAGACACGCTACTGCAAATATTTTCAAAAAAAATTTGTTTGAAGACGAATATTGAGGAAAGAACAAAAGAAAATTGTATTCTTTTATCAATATTCGACTTCAAACACATTTTTGGGGGGAAAATCTTTGCAGAAGTGTGTGTCTAATGGCAACCTCTTTCACATCATTATAAAGTGAAGTGAAATTTTGCCATCCAACCTTTGGCGAATTTGGGGCTCCCAACGGGCTTGTCTTGTGTTAACAAATTGACCACAGTGCATCATTTGTCATAAAATTGCCCTCACGTTTCATCTTGATTGATTGATTTTTTCAGAAACTAGTGATCTCATGGATTGAGGAAAGAGTGACCTGCCTAGAAGTGACTGAAAAGGTACGTAATCATAATATGATACATGCTTCTTGTCAGGAAAGTGCTTTCCATTGGTCAAAACTGAGTGAGCTATGGTCTTGTGGAAGGAGCTGATGTAAAGCAAAACAAATATGATGTTTTCTGTTGCTGAAAGAGTGAGGAGATGTATAGAGGGGATGTGCTTGACAAAGATTAAAAAGTTTGAACAAGTATCCCGTATTGTATTCTCTTTGTAGAATAGAATTCATTAACATACATACAGAAAAATAATAGAATACAGAATATAAAATAATGTATCTTTGTTTGTTAATTGTTAATCCACAGACCGGATGGCCCAGCAATGGTCTAGAGTTAGCTGAATTAATGTTAAGAGGTAACCAGCAGCTTATCAAGTCATCCAGTGGCACCCACTTATCACAAGCACTCACAGAGGTAAGTTGATGTTTTATTTCCATCTGTAGTTCAGAAGGTAGATGACTAAACAAAACCCATAAAAGTATGCCCCTTACCTTAATAAGTGTATTATGAATGGTTTTTGGACCTCGTTTGCATAGAAGAGGAAAGAACACTTATTCAAGATTGAAAATCACCCCCCCCTCTTTCTTACATGCTGTATTTGACTCTCTCTGTGTGTGTCTATTTTTGTACAACAATTTTTCCAATTTATTTTTGCTCAATTTCTTTAAACATCGTGCTGTCAATTGTATGTGTATGTTGCTTGTTAATGATTGCATCAATGTTATGATGTACATGACTTGCCTGTCAACTATCTATTGATCAATTTGACTAATCCTATTAATTTTGCAGGATAGCTAATTTCACATGGAAACCTGGTGTTTCTATGAGGTCTTAATTGTTTACACCAAAAACAGATTTTTATATACACAGATTTGTCACATAGGAAGATGAAAATACAGGGTTTTCGTTTAGTCACATGTTGCACTAAATCATCCCAATTTGACTGTAATCTATTAATAGTACTCTTGAAGACATCCATTTCTCATTTCCCTTTTATTTCAGACAAATGGTAGTGACTGCAAGGAGTCCATGGAGAGACTAAAAGAACTGGTCCACAACCTTCAAGAACTTAGAATCCTCCATACCAGATACAAGTGCTTGCTAACTCTCGACCAGTTTTGCAAGGTGAGCTCTGGACTACCATGCCCCTCCCTCCATACGACCATGAAATAATGATCGAAATAGACTGCAGTCCAACTGCCAAAATTTTACTGGCAATCATTTATTCTATACCTTTGCTGTAACCAGAACTCACATTTTAAAAAAAAATTCTTATTATTCTTATATTTTATTTGTTACTGCATTTCATTATTTGAGACTCAAAAGCCCGAATTCACAAAGGAAGTTTAAATTTAACCCAAGGTTTAAACCCTCATTTACATAACCCATGGTCTAAAATTAGCGCAAAATAAGCATACCTTGCCTTGCATGCATCTAATATTGGACATCTGACTGTTTTCACACTTATTTTGCACTAATTTTAGACCATGGGTTATGTAAATGAGGGTTTAAACCATGGGTTAAATTTAAACCTCCTTTGTGAGTTCGGCCCAAAGGTTTCATGCTCTCTCATGTTGTTTTGTTGTTGTTGTTGTTGCTTTGAAGGAAACGACAGAGAGCATATCGTTCAGGATGCTGGAGAGGGTCGCTGCTCCTGAGCTTGTACCGGGGACCATCACCAAATGCATCATACCCTACGCTAAGGATCACAAGCTAGAGGTGGACAACCTGCTCTTGAAATACATACAGGTAAGATTTTAGTCTGTTTTAACTATTAAAACAAGATGATTAAGCGATTCATAGGTAATTTGATGTCTCTAACAAGTTGTATTGGGTGAAAACAAAACATGAAAATCAGAAAAGTAGATTGGTAAAAGTTTGAACAAATTTGGACAGATAAAAAGAAAGTTATGACTGTTTGAAAGTTTAGATGTAAATCTCATCTAAATGTAAATCTCATAATGGCAAACTGGTCAGTGGATGGTGAATCGAATGTGGAGAACTTGCCGTTTGTTGTTCACTCTATTCTGATATATTGTGAATTTCCATGTATCTTCTAAGCACTTTTTCCAGTGGGGCTGTACTCCTACTATATAATGGATAGACAGTTTTAATAATCCTTCATAAATACGGGTAGGTATTCATAAAAATGGACTTAGTTCAGCCTGGTTTTAATTGGTCCACTAAATTATGAAATGTCAAGTGTTGAGCTCTTAACTCTGTACGAATGCTGACTGAATTTCAGTTACAAAAAAAACAAATCCAGTCATGAAATGAAAGTGAGAAATGTATTTCATGTTTACATGCTTTTTATTTGAAACAGGATGGAGAGGTAAACACTTTGAATTCCATAAATCAGTGTATTTACTCTACCCATTTAATCAGTATTGAAACTTATAAACTTGAAATTTCAATAAGAAACACAACTCCCATTTGCCCTTAGTGACCTGTGTTAAAGCACATATCACGGTGTCGGGCCTACTAACCTGGATTTCCTTATCTTTCTATGCTCATTACTCAGCCACTATACATTTCTACCAAAATCTTTTGGTACACATCATTTATATGTAATCTTGAATATTCAGTGTAAGTTTCGTTGGATTCTGTGAGAATTTATTTTCTATATTTACCAGAACTCAAGTTTATCTTTAATCTGTCTTTATGAATACAAACTCTTTTTCCAAACTGCATTCTTCCATCCAGGACCTTCTGTCTGTACCGAGTCTCTTTGCCACCTATGAAGCATCCTGGGAAGCCAAAGCCATCACTGTCATCAGATGCATCAAGGATCTTACTGTGAGTAACATCGTACAACATTTCATCAAACACATCTAGTCTCTGATCAGAAAATTTCATGGATTGGAAAAGAAGACCTATGGGTTACAGTTATTTAGTTAATCTCTTTCTTTTCCCAGCATCCATGTGACTCTTTTCCAAATGTACTCATGTTATGTCTTCAATTATTTTCTTTGTTTTTTCACTGAATAAATGATAATAATAATAATAATTTCTAGTCCATCACTGTATAATAGTTTATTTCAATGCTGTGTTCAATCTTTCTTTCATTTCTGTGCTCTGTAACATATAAAATCACATACAATCAAAAGTAGAATAAAATATGTTGACATATATTTCATATGTTTCTTAACCCTTACTACAATAAGATATGTGATATATTAGTAGTCCTTTGTAGGGGGCCTGAGCATCCCTGGGATGGATATTTGCACAATCTTAAAGTAGCTGGTATTATCTTTATTGTTTTAGAGTCAGTGTGGAGCCATACTTGCTCTGATGCAGAAGGCACCTGTACCATGGAGCAGGGGAATGGAACAGGTGGTCCAGTATGGCTTGTCCATCAAGCATCCTATGTAAGACAAACACTTATGGATTTATACATTTTTCTTGAGGGATGGCTTGTTCCTCAAGCATCCTATGTAAGAAAAGTTCTCCTACACATTTCTATCTCCCAAAACCCTCTGTCTCTGTCTCCCTCTTTCTTTCTCTTCTCTATCAATTGTGATGATCGTGTTGTTCCAAACAGCTCCTTTTGTAGCACTTGCATCAAGTTGATCACTGGGAAATGTAAAATAAACAGCTTGATTCAAGTTTGTAGGAATGAGCTGAATAGAATTCAGGTGTAGGATATAAAAAGTGTAAGTTCACAGGGTCATGGAAATGTTACGAATCCCAGAAAATATTTTGTTAAAGTGTTACCTAGAAAATAAACAAAAATGTGGCCACTCTTGACGAAACTGTGCTTAAGTATGTATAAGTTTTAACAGATTAAGTTGAAAGGGTCTAGGCTCATGGGCTCTTATGTTAAAGGTCACAGGATCATTGAGCAACAAACATACATGTACAACTAGGTGAAGATCTATTAGAGATGCAGTACCATTAAATCCTTTTACTGATTTTAGCTGATTTGTTTATGCAAAAGAGTTTCCAATCCATATTTCTAATTTCCTATGATCACAGGGTTGCCCAGCTGGAGGAGCGTCATGGTATTATGAAACTGAGAGACATGTTCATGAAGTATGACCTGAGATCGGTATGCCTGGGAGATACAGATAGCATGAAGGTTAGTTCTTACTTCTATCACATCACACCTAGGGAGTGTTTTACAAAGATTCTAAGTCGCACTTAACTCTAAGTTGGAAAATTATTGAGAACTATTTGTAGCCTTATAATGAAATATATTCAAAAGCAAAAATTCAATTACTTTAGACTTTTCAACAATTCCACATCAAGAACATCTCCCATGATAAAAGAAAATATGAATCATTTGAATCAACATTTTATGCCTTTTAAAATAATTTTTACAAATATTTTTGGCTTTCTATAATTGTTAAGTCCAACTTAGAGATATTAGTTCAACTTAGGATCTTTGTGAAACACCCTTTGCTATGACTGAATTGCATTGGCTACCAGTCAAGTACAGGATTGAATAAAAAAATAAATCCTGTTCGTGATGTTCAAGGGACATCCATAATCTAGCCAGTTTGTAATAAGGACACTACTTTCTTTTCTCATATAGGTATTAACATTGATCTAAAATTCTGATATTTTTTTTATGCCCCATTGTAAACCATGATTGATGAAAAGAAAGCAAAAACAAAGGCAATTCTTGTAGATTTTCTCCTAGATTGAAGTGAAGAATATCCAGAGTATGAAAATGAATTTATAATTACCATTAAGAGTCTTTTTGATGCAAACCATGGTTGAAGAAAATGAAGAAAAGAAACAAAAATGAAGATGAATGTGATCCTTGCCATGTATATCGTAGATTGCAGTTACAGTGTAAGATTATCCAGAGTATGAAATTGAATTCATAATTACCATTAAGAATCTTTTTGATGCAAACCATGGTTGAAGAAAATGAAGAAAAGAAACAAAAATGAAGATGAATGTGATCCTTGCCTTGTATATCGTAGATTGCAGTTACAGTGTAAGATTATCCAGAGTATGAAATTGAATTCATAATTACCATTAAGAATCTTTTTGATGCAAACCATGGTTGAAGAAAATGAAGAAAAGAAACAAAAATGAAGATGAATGTGATCCTTGCCGTGTATATCGTAGATTGCAGTTACAGTGTAAGATTATCCAGAGTATGAAATTGAATTCATAATTACCATTAAGAATCTTTTTGATGCACCTTTATAAACCATGATTAAGGACAAAGAAGAAGAAAAATATTGATGAATGTGATCCTTGCCATGTTTTTCCTAGATTGCAGTTAAGAATATCTTAAGTCTTGAGGACCCTGCCATTCTAGAGGATGCATTACGTGTTGTCAAAGCTCACTCCAGTGAACTCTCCAAGATGGATGCCTATCTCTTCAGACTCCAACACCTCATTAAGTCAAATCAGGTACGTTTGATTGTTTTTTTTGTTTTTTTTTGTTTGTTTGTTTGTTTTATCTGGCTGCTAGGAAAGCATGTGTATGCTTGTAAGTAAGCAATCAAGGGACCCCTGGCTTTAAGTCCTCTCCAAGGGACACAGTAATGGGGATCAATGACTTACCAAAGGGTACTAGTGCATCAACTTCATTTCGAACTTGGGACCTCTGGGTTTTTCGAGACCACTGCTCTACCACTAAGCCATTGCGTTGCCATCCTAAATCCAGAAATGCTGTATTTGTATGTGTGTTATGTAAAAACATACCCTTGTCATATTCTGAATACTGAGTTATATTTGATGACAGTGAGAAGTATGTTGATTGTCATAACCAATTGAAATTGCGCTGATTCAGCGTTGCTCGTGTAGATATCTGTATGCCCTTGTAGCCATTTTGCACAAAATTAACCAATTACTTTTCCTGATTTAGATTTGTTATGACAATTGATTTACTTTTACTTTATTTTTACAAGTGACAGTATTGGGATTTGTAGGGGACAGAGGGGTTGACAATCGGTAATTTTCCCTGCTATCACAACAATGTTTAATTCTCTTTTGTTTATTAGGTTGAGAAATGCCTGGATTTGTTGTCTGATCTGCCCCACCAAGAAGCTCTGCTCTTTCTGTCTCGGATCATGTCCTGGGCTGAGATCATCATGAACAACCCTGCAGATACCTTCTGTGATGAAGAGGTGAATGCTCATAATAAGACAATCAAACAAACAAAACAAGCAAATATGCGAACAAGCAAGCAGCAAATAACAAAACAAAGAATCATTAATGGTAACAGCGACAAATCTTGAGAATTAAATGTAGAATTCTTGATTAAAGACAAGGATTTTTTTTTTTTTAATAGTTTTATTTTTCCATTAAAAAAATAAAATAAAAAAAATAATAATAATTTGTGTGTTATTCTTTTATTTATTTATTTATTTATTATTATTTGTTTATTTGATATTATTTGTATTTATTATTTATTTATCTATTGGGGGGGGGGGGGTTCCATAGGTGTGTGACTCTACTCATCAGCTGCCTCATACCTAACTGTACCCTTTCTCAAAAAGAGAGAACAACTCTCATGATGTTACCCTGCAATTGTTATTGACACTTTTATTAAAGAACAGATTGGTACACTAAAATGTGCCCAAAGATCAGCTTGGCATGAACACGATCTTTTAAATGTGGTGCTGTGATGCCATTTCTTGTGCCAATTGTGCATGTGTGGAATTTTTAAAATCTATTATTGAAATCTTATTAATTTCATGTTTTCATGTATTGTATTACTGAATTCATCTTCGGTATATCTTACATCAAACAATTGACTTAATTCAAAATCACAGAGAGCCTCTTGTTGATATAGTTGGTAAAGAGAAAGTTGAGTTCTGGGGAGAGGTGAAAAATAATTTGTGAGCGTTATCATTGGTATTATATGCAAGTGTGAAAGAACATCAGAGAACAATATGTACCCTGAAAAGCATGGCTCTTCAAATGCCTCCATATTCTAAATATGACAAGTAACAGCTTAAAAATGAGACCCGATTTTTATGCCATATGTCTGTGTAGTCCCATATACATCTTTCTGTGTACAGTGCTTGCTACTTTACCAAGACTGGGCCAGATTTCTTATCATTTTGATCGACTCCAGAACATAACAGTACACACCAATAGTAATGCTACATGATCAACTATTTCTGATCGATTCCACACCGTTTTTTCACAAGTCAACTTTATCTTTAATCTCTCATGTTTTTACAGAGCAAAGACTATCGGGTGTTGGTAGGGCAAGCCGCTATACGATTGCTGCAGACTGATCTCTACACGGAGCTCAGTAAAGATCCCACACAAGACAATCTTAAAGAAGAAGAGCTTCAAAGTCTTCTCTATCTGCAGGTAATATATCTTTCAAGATTTGAATATAATATTATTATAAAAATTGAAGAAATTCAAATTCTTCTGTATGCACTGTCCAGGCAATATGATTCAATTTTTTGTCATCTTATATCTACTTTTATTGTTGTCTTTATGTATGTCAAGGTTTACAAAAAACTAGTTAGAAATGTAGACAATCTATTGTACAAATGATCAATTGCAAATGGTCAAATCATTCCTCTCTCCGCTAGACTTGGTGTATGCATTGATACTATATTCACATTGTCCTCTCAAGGAAACCACGTATAGTCCGTGATTGTAATTATTACCCCACAATTTATGGAGGATTCATAGATTTATTTTGTCAAAGTGGAAATTCACAGATGGACGGTGATTTTTTTCTTAATTGTTTTCCTGCAGTTGGAATACGGTCTTCTTGTTCCGTTGGGTAGTTACCGGGAGGATGCCTTCAGATTACAGCTGCTCAAGAAGGCCGTCATTGAACACTACAAAGAGATTCATACAGGAATCAGAAAGAAAGAGGTGGGTAGAATGAAACCTGTGTATATAGACCGCTCCAGGGAGGCAATAAATGTGGTCTTCATGAGCAGGTGGTCTTTGTGTACAAGTTCCTTAGGTATGGGTTTCAATGGGAAACTCTGCTCAAAGGAGACCCCGCAAAAAAATCAGTATTTATAGACAGGTGGTCACTAGAGCAGGTTTGACTGTAATTTCATTCCTTTCCTTTAATTTCTTCCTTCCACCAACAAGAGTGGCCGTGAAGCCATGGAAGTATAGAATATCCATTGTGCGTATTGTTTGCGCCTGCTTTACAAATTATTTTTCTTCACTGAAGATAAAAGGGAGGGTTCCAGCAGTTATAGAAAACCACAAAAAGTTATAGAAAACTGAAAACATATTTCAAAGCCCGGATAATTTAAGGGAAAGTCATGGAAAGTCAAATACATCAGCGAAATATCAAAGAATGAATATTCCAGTCAAGAAACAAATCGGTCATTTACACAAATGACAAATTTGATAAGGTTAAAGGGGAAGTCCACCCTAATATTGAATCAGTTTTAAAAGAAGCCGAAAAATTAGAGAAACAATTCAGTGAAAGTTTGAAAAAATCAGACAACGACTAAGAAAGTTATGAATCCTTCAAAATCATGAAAATCATGGAATTTTTGAAACAAATTGGCAAATTTGTCCTTGTACTAAAACAAACTAAGGTAAAAAATAGGAAAAAAAAATTGTTGAGAAAAGAGTCATGGATTTTTGTTTATCATTAAAAAGTCATGGGAAAGTCATGGCATTGATTTTTGTTTAGAAGAGCATGTACCCTGTGATAAGCACATACTTGTTACCCGGCATCTTTTAGAACAAGATGATGTTGATATTTACTTATTGCTGTTGTTTTCTCAGAATTGTGGAGCTGCCGAGAGGAAGTCCAGGGATCTCAAACCAGGAAACTTTGTCAGAGTTTTGAGGTGAGTTCTATAGGGTCGTGAAATGCAAGTCAAATGTAACAAAGGACCAATGTGATTATAATAATAATAATCAGGATTTATATTGCGCTTAATACAAAATACAGTTTTTAAGTTCTTTAGAGATATTATTACCCTGGTCATTGGATTCATCCATTCATAATGTGCACCATCTCCTCTCCCTGGGGAGTATTGCTACCATATGAGCACGGTAAGGGCATATGGCAATTACTAACACAAAGGCTTTTGTCATCCTACCAAGTCCCTATTTCTCTCCTGGGTATGGAGTGGCAAATGTACATTAATGCCTTGCCGAAGCCCGGAGTGTATGTCGGATCACCATATGTGTATCATTGTGATCTGTTTTGATTTAAAATTGGTTTAGCCATGTTGAAAGCTATTACGGTGGAAATGTAGTGTTAACAGTCTCCTTGGTACCTACATGTAGGAAATGATGTCGTTATATTGAAATCTTGTTTTAATCAAGGCTAAAACAATATCAGACAAAGACAGATTATCCAATTACATGTCTAACAAAAGTTTCAGGTAACAGTGTGTGACAATGTTCAGTGTTCTAAATGATATATTAAATATGTTTGATCAATTAGTAAAGATGTTTTCATTTCAAACGTTATCAGAGGTTCTTGATTGATGTGTGATATGGATTATTTCATAATAATAATATAATAATAACAAAGTTTATCATATCCTCCCCAAGGGATGCTCAAGGCGCCTAACAGGGTAAATACATTAAACATATCATCCTTCTTCTGTTCAAGGTTTAAAATCTGAACAAACCAATATTGTTACATTTTTTCTTTAGAGATATATGAGATTAGGTCCAAATTAAAGGACAGTGAATGATTATGATTCTGTTCTTGTTTTCTGATAGACTTGGTGAAATCCTAGGTGTATCAACCAGTGAGCTGAGAGGTGAGATTGCTCTCAAAGCTGCCCAGACAGGAGAAATAAACACAGCTATCACTATATGCAGGTGAGATCACAGGGTCAGGGGTCACACTAGTTTGAAGAGCTAAGCAGTGGCAGGCAAAATTCATCTTGATGTTATATTAAAGCTGGTGTTGATAAAAGCAGATAAATGAAAGAAACAAATAAGTGAAAGTTTGAGGAAAGCTGGTGTAAAATAGTAAGAAAGTTATGAATATTTAAAGTTGGAATCGATTAAACATAACTCGATAAAGCGCTTTATAAGAAACAATTAATATCATTATTATTAGTGGTAGTGGTGGTAGGGGTGGTGATGGTGGAGCAACTCTGTGATATACCTGATGAATCTGTAGTTGTATCCCCCGGCAGTATGCCGGTGGGGTACTTTGGATTCAGCCGGTGGGGTACTTTGGATTCAGCCGGTGGGGTACTTTGGATTCAGCAGCGTTACGCCGCCGCCGCCGTCGCCGCCGCGTCCGCCGCCGCGTCCGCCGCTGCGTCATATTCTTGTGTGCGCTCTATAGGCCACATTTCTTGATGGATTTCTTTCAAATTTTGTATGGAGGTGTATCCTGGTATAATCTACATACCTATAACTTTTGGTGATGCTGCCCCCAGTGTTCCGTCTTCTATAGGGTACAAGGCCATATTCTTGTGGATGGTTTGTGTGCGCTCTATAGGCCACATTTTTAAAGGGATTTTGTTCAAATTTTGAACGAAGGTGTATCTTGGTATAGTCTACAAGCCTATAGATTTTAGTGATGCTGCCTCCAATGTTCCGTCTTTTATAAGGTCAAAGGTCATATTTTGATAGATGTCTTGTGTGCACTCTAGTGTGCACTCTAACTGCCACATTTCTTGACGGATTTCTTTCAAATTTTGTATGGAGGTGTATCCTGGTATAATCTACATACCTATAACTTTTGGTGATGCTGCCCCCAGTGTTCCGCCTTCTATAGGGTACAAGGCCATATTTTTGTTTGTGTGCGCTCTATAGGCCACATTTCTAAAGGGATTTTGTTCAAATTTTGAACAAAGGTGTATCTTGGTATAATCTACAAGCCTATAGATTTTAGTGATGCTGCTTGTATTAAGGTTCATTATAGTTTACTCTAGACCTCCACAAATTTGGTGCTGCTACCCCCCAGTATTCCATCTCTTATAGGGTCAAAGGTCATATTTAAAGGAATATCTTGTGTTGCTATGCAAATCACATTTCTTTCAAATTTTCTATAAATATGCATCATAATCTGATCTACACACCTATTGTTTTGGTGATGCTGCTCCTAGTCTTGACAATAGTCTGAGCCACTTGCGGCAATCTCTACGTCATCCTTTTGTTTCACAAAGAGGAGAGGGAATCTTTGTCCCTCCTTCCACATAAGGATAACACAAAATCGCCGGGGGATACATTCGCATTGCGCGGCAATACAGATTGCGATATTTCTAGTTTGATTTCCTTTTAACTCACAACTCCCCCTTCCTCACTTATTTCTCTCTTTCCATCTGTTTATCTATCTCTCTCTCTCTTTCTCTCCCCTCCCTTCCCTCCCCTTCTCTCCCCTCCCCTCTCTCCCCTTCCCCTCTCTCCCGTCCCCCTCTCTCCCCTCCCCCTCTCTCCCCTCCCCCTCTCTCCCCTCCCCTCTCCCCCCTCCCCTCTCTCTCCTCTCCCTTCCCTCCCCTCCCCCTCTCCCCCTTTCTCCCATTCCCCTCTCTCCCCTCCCCCTCTCTCCCCTCCCATCTCTCTCCCCTCCCCCTCTCTCCCCTCCCCCTCTCTCCCCTCCCCCTCTCTCCCCTCCCCCTCTCTCCCCTCCCCCTCTCTCCCGTCCCCCTCTCTCTCCTTCCCCTCTCTCCCCTTCCCCTCTCTCCCCTCCCTTTCCTCTCTCCATCCAGTGATCTGTGTGAGCCTGACTGTTCCCCCGAGGTAGCCTACACCCTCTACCATGTCTCCCATACTATCTGCACCCAGCTGGCCAATGGGCATGACATCTTGGGCGGGCCATCGGGAGGTGATCACATCAAACAGCTCTTAAATCTAACCCAGAAAGCAACTGCTTCTTGTAACCAAGGTACACCAACCCATTAAGATGTTGTTTTGCTTGTTTGATTGTTTTGTCTATTGATTGGTTTTAGTCTCCTTGCTGTCAACAGATACAACTGTAGTGTGTTAAAAATCGAGTATGGGCAATTAGGTCAGGTTCAGATTTTTTAGGGAGTTAAGCATAAGTTTTGAAACAATGATCTCATTCAAAAGTATTTGTCAGAATTCCACAAAATATGGACAGTAGGGTTGGTTTGATAACGCGATAATATTTGCGATTGCACTGGATATGTTCTACACATGCCTTTATTAAAGACATTTTTCAATGATTTTGTGAACCTATTAGAAATGAAGTGTATTTTGTTTCTTTATTTGTTTGTTTTCCCTGTAGATTTACTTGCAGACTGCCTTGATCTTAGCACCAAGGTCCGCTCCTTGAGAGACCTGTGTGACCAGTGTGAGAGTGGAGACTATGGTATCTCAGTGCAGGTAATAAACATGACAAGAAACTTTCCTGTGACTGGATGAATGTCCCTTTATATGTACAAACTATCACCAGCTTTAGCTAGGCCACCATGATAAGGCACTCAAGCATGCTAGGCAGAGCTGCCAACTAGTACAGATTTCCTTTTTTGGGGGGGGGGGCGTAAATGTGATTTATTGTAGCGAGTGCTGTGCAGTATGGTGGCCATCCAACACTCGCTGAGACAGACGTAAAAGTATCAAGTATTCTCTTAATAGTCATGGAAAACTGATGTGTTGTGATGACCTCAAAATCAATATTTTGCAACTTTGTGTGAGTAAAGCACCAAAGATAATCATGTGGCATGCGTCCGCCAAGTGTTAGCATGCCGTTTCTTAAAGATTTATAGCGCCGCATAGGAATTTACTGATTTATTCCCAAAATTACTAATTTTGAGCCTTGTGATCAATGTTTTCCTGAAGAACATACGGTAGTACCTTGACGAAGGTTTGAACCGCATAACATCTAGATGTGTCGTGGATACGTCTACATGTTTGGCCTGTAGTTTCTTTTGTCTCTTTCTGTCTCTGTCTCTGTAGGTGCCCATGTAAGGGATTTAGCTTGCTATGTCAGCTGGTCCTTTGCTAGAGCATATGATCCTGTGGTCATCACACCATATGTGTCAATGAGATTGCTGCAGCTCTATTTAGTTTACTTCCTTTCTCTCTATCTCTCTCTGTCTCTGTAGGTGCCCATGTGAGGGATTTAGCTTGCTATGTCAGCTGGTCCTTTGCTAGAGCATATGACCCTGATGTCAGGACACCATGTGTCAATGCAGAGCTGCCAAACATTATGTTTTTCTTGGAATTATTCAGTTTTTTTCTCAAAATTACGGTAGTACGTTTTTTCTTCTCAAAATGATTGACGGTAATAGAGGGGTTGCACAGTTCTATCAAATACAACTTCTTCGCCTTACTGCCTTGCGCTGCTTGTATATTACGTATATTATCGGTATCACACGTTCGGGCGTTCAAGTTGTCTGTGCTAAATCTTCCAGGAAAAGGCAACATTTTCGTCAAGAACATACTGGCAAATGGCCATGTATTCTATGAGCGAAGAGGGACGAACTTTAATATGGAAATAACAGCACGAGGAATGGATATTTCTGCATTGGAAGTGTGTCGCCGGGGTTGTAAGTTTCTTTTTTCATGAATTCCTTTTTTTTGCTTGAAATTCCTTTTTTTTTGTTACCATCATGGTTCCTTTTTTTAGTTGCACAAGGTTGACAGCTCTGCATTCTGCTGCTTTATCCATGCTTTTGCCTTTTAGATTGGGGCTGCAGAGACCAAGAAAGATCCTTACGAGGAGTACACCTATGAGATGTTCTTCAAGGAAGATTCACTCGTTCTATCATCTCAAGATGTCATTCCTGTAGCAGCAGACTTTGCTCTAGCATGTCAGCCCACGGTCAGGCCAAAAGATGCTCTGCCGTTCCAGCAGGCCAGGGTGTCTGGACAACCTGTCTTGCTCAAAGGTAGGAAATTCATCTTGCATGAAATAACACTTTCATCTGGGACTTAAAACTCTTTCATAAATAATCCCTCAATGTCAAAACTCACTTGTGCCAACTGCAGGTCTCCTGGTGTAGAATAATCTTCACCGGAAACAGTTTAAAAATCTTGAAGTATTTGGTGTATCTGTCCAATTACATTCAATCTGGCACAAGGAAATCATTTGAGTGGTAGATTAAGAGTTATTATTTTTTTCTAACTCACTGTCGATTCAGAACCAAGTAATGAGGAAGGAGCTGTCCAGTCTGGTCACATTGGTCAGGTTGCAGCCTCTACCAAGTATCTGTGCCAGACCTTCAAGGAGCATAACCAGTGCTGCCTGGCCTTTCATTATGTCATGGAGTTGCTTGCCACGTCCCTGGTCCATCTCTCGGTCAACACTGGCAACAGATCACTGCAAGATGAGGTGAGTACCTAGAGAGGGTACAACCCTTGAACTTAACACTTTGAAACTGATGATGACGATGATGGTGCTGGTGTTGCTGCTGCTGATGGTAATGTTGATGATGGTGATGATGGTGGTGGTGGTGGTGGTGGTGGTGGTGGTGGTGGTGGTGGTGGTGGTGATGGTGATGGTGATGGTGATGGTGGTGGTGGTGGTGGTGGTGGTGGTGGTGGTGGTGATGGTGATGGTGATGGTATTGATGATGATGGTGGTGATGATGATGATGATGATGTTAATGATGATGGTGATGGTCATGGTAATGATGGTAATAATGTTGATGATGGAATTGATAATGAAGATGATGGAGATGATGATGATGATGATGATGATGATGATGATGATGATGATGATGATGATGATGATGATGATGATGATGATGATGATGATGGTGATGGTGGTGGTGGTGGTGGTGGTGGTGGTGGTGATGGTGATGGTGATGGTGGTGATGGTGATGGTGATGGTGATGGTGATGGTGATGGTGATGATGATGATGATGATGATGATGATGGTGTTGGTGATGATGGTGGTGATGATGATGATGATGATGATGGTGATGATGATGATGATGATGATGATGATGATGGTGATGATGATGATGATGATGATGTTGGTGGTGGTCATGATGATGGTCATGATGGTGGTGGTGGTGGTGGTGGTGGTGGTGGTGGTGGTAGTGATGATGTTGCTTATGATGATGATGTTGAGGGTTCTGATGATACTAATTATTTGTATTTAGCCTCATGAGTGAAAATTTAGGATATCCACTGTACTTCTTTCATCTGTTATCACAACAATCTATGTAATAATTCTAATTTTTTTTCTTCAAAATCTCAGTATGTTTGCAATTTTAAAATTATATGTTTTTCTGTAGGTCACAATAGCAGCTGTAGAGAAAGAAATGAAAGAAATGGCGGAGGTTATGCCTGTTGCTAAGCAGAACATCAGTAATCTCTCATCTATTCTACTCAACAAGGTAATTAGCAATGAGAGCTTTTATTGTTGGCAACAATATTAGTCCTCATTTGATTAGTTCTCATTTCATTTCATTGTCATTCCAAAAGAACATCTATTCAATTTTAAGACATTCATATTGACATACAAGAAAGGGGGTGCTGATCCCAGGGTATTCTACTGACACTACTTCAGATATATGTATACTGCCTTCTGCTGCTCACAATGTCCAGATGTTTTGACAGCCATGTCCCACAATGCATCACTAACTACATGACGTGCATGCGATGTTGCTTGGGTACAGGAACCGGAAATCACTCTGTACGCTCTCACCGAAAGATGGCGCAGTTGAAAATACTCTACAGCAGTGGTAGCGATGTCGGTAAAAATACACTGCCTTTGAAGCACCTGCTTTCATTGGGCATGCGTGATGAACAAGAGAAGACATGGAGACCAAGACACGGACACACAGACTCAAAAACAAAATAAAACAGACAAAAAGAGACAAGGAGGTTTAATGATAGGAAGAGGGGAAGAACAAAAGAGAGCGGGGAGAAGATACACGCACCTGTATAACCTATTATATGAGTACATGAGACGGATTGTATTAAACCCTGTCTTAATTGGAAAATAAAGTCGTTTTACCCCCTTCCAATTAAGGCGTGTCAATCAGGGTAACGTCTGGACAATATCGAGGTAAATCTCACCCTAGACGAGCCAGGGTGATATTTACCCGGGTAAATTACGTCATCGCCGTGAAAAAATGTATACATGTACACAGCGCGCGGATGAGGTTTTTGCCGATGGCTGATTAAGACGGTGTCCAAAAGCTCACCCCATGTTTTACAATCAGACCCCCCACTGTTTCTCATCCACATATCGCTCGGGTGAGATCGAAAAAGTTCTATTAAGACGGGGCTTCATATACACTCAAAATATAAAGTAGAGAAAAGGTTCTTTTTTTCAAAATCCTTGAAAAATGACCTATTACAGTGTTATGGAAATGCCTTGTATGAAACAGATTGTGTATTTGTACACTCAAAATATAAATTAGAGAAAATGTTCTTTTTTTTCAAAATCATTGAAAATTTACCTGTTGCCCTATCATGGAAATGCCATGTATTTTAGTCAAATATATAACCGCACATTGATTTGTTTTGCACCTCATCCAGATATTCAGCTGTCGGACCGTGGATAAGTTCTTGGCGCTGTGTTACCTCACCATTCAGCCCTCCAAAGAACAGATCAAGAAGCTTGTCTACAATGCTGGACAAAACTACAAGAAAATCTTAGTAAGCCCCAGAAAATACTAGAATGAATGTCATCTTTTGTAGGGAAGAATCAGATAATACTAGAAGTAGTGTCATATTGAAGCATTTCATGTTCGATTCAATTTGTATATTTAATTTTAACAGAGCAAGTGTTTGTTATATTTTCCCTTGATGTAAAAAACAAAATTGCTCAATGTCCATAAAATATGAAATGTAGGGAGTAAAAAGGAAAGAAAAAAGATAAAGAATATCAATGTGTTTCTGTTATTTGGGAATTACAGCTTGGTAAAGACATTTGTACACATGGATGCTGTTTTTAGATTGTAATGTTATTCAGATTACCTCAAAATTTTCAGACCCTTAGAAGAGTAACAATGAAAACCTTGAGATGTCTTCTATCACTCAATTGAAAAAAATATGTCGTTGACGAAGCTGTTCATGATGACCATGTTGTACTGAGCGAGGCGGGAAGAAAAAAAATTGAGTGATATGTATTTTTTAAAGTAGATAATAAGGTTATTGTTTGTATAAAATATACTTGCTTCACATCAAAAGGCTTCATTTGTTTTTCACCAGGCAATAGCCCAAGTTGGATGTGAGATGGCTAAGATGAATCAGGATGCCAAAATACAGACTGTGTTCCAAGACCTCGCTACTAGTGCATTATGGGGAGATAGACTCCTTAAGATTAAGGTAAGTTTTCTATTTCCTATTGAGAAAAGACTTGAAGCATGTTCAGGTATGAACCCGCCATGTTTTTTAAAATAAATATGTAAATGAATGGCAGCTGCTTGCAACAAAGATTCTATGCATATTCACTTAGCTCTGTTCAGTAAGATACAGAAATGTGATATGTATTAGACTTTACGTTATAATTTTTTATTTTATTTTTTTTAAATCAGGGGCTTTATCTCGTCAAATCTGTATCCCAAGACTTCGCTACCAGTGCCTTGTAACAGATTATGAACATTTTTGACCGTTCCTACTTTTAATGCTTTGTAGATGATATATATGTCTGGTATGAAAGATTTCACCAGTATCAAAAGGCTACTGGTAATGGTTTCTAATCAGCCACATTTCAATGTTGTATATAAAATTGATGTGTTGCATCTAGTGCGAAAATCCAATCACTGTTCACATTGTCCTTGATCTTTATAGGTGTCTTTCAAAGATGCATTCAACAGCATGGAGAAGAAACGTCTGCTGTTACCTCAGCTTATCACTCACCCACAAACCAGTCTAGAACTCATCACGGAATACTGTAGGCAAGTCTACCTTCATATTCATTGATTTATTATAGAGGAGGTGCAATGGCTCAGTGGTAGAGTTGATTCCTCAGCACTACATCCTAACTTATGGATCCTGCTGAGTTTCGTCATAGAAGTAGAAGTAGAGCAGAGGTCTCGTAACCTGGAGGTCCCAGGTTTGAAACCAAGTCAATGTGCCAGTGCCCTTTGGTAAGGCATTGATCCTCATTACCAAGTCCCTCAGAGAGGACGTAAAGCCGCCAGTCCCCTGGGTGCTTACTTACAAGCATACAGTGTTTTCTTAGAAGTCAGATAAAAGAAACAAACAAATAAACCACCACATTTTGGATTTCATCCAAAAGAAATATAAAAATGATGTTTCCAATTTAATATTTTATACAATAAGAAGACAGAAATCAAATTTTGAAACATAAGGACGAGAAGCTACATGTTGCAATCAAAGAACAATTGTGCTTTATCATACTTTGTGTTTTGAAGGCATAGTAGTAGATCTTGTAACAGGCAGGTCCCAGGTCTGAAATCAAGCAGGTACTTTACTGCCCTTTGATAAAGCATTTAGTTACGTGTACCAAGTCCCTCAGATAGGCTTTAAGCATTAGGTTCACTGGTTGCCTATCTAAAAGCATATACTACATGTACCTTAACAGCCCAATAAAAAAAAAATCAATACTCTTATGCTTCTTTCCTTGATTGTTTTGTCTTGTACAGAGATTTCAAACTAGATGAGCAGGAGGCGCTCATGATGTATGTTCGTCTCCTGCTGTTGCCTAGTGACAGTGAAAGGGAAGATCACCATGGCAACAGCAAAAAGCCTCTGGACAAGAAAGTGATCCTCTCAGCCGTTTCTATGATCCAAAAAAGAGGAGCTCTCGTTCAGATGCTGAAGGCAAATGTAGATAAGGTGAATATCTTCAGCAATTTCTGTATAATAGCAAGACAATTTTTTTGTGTACAGGTATCTTCATGGATTACAGACACACAGGCATTGTTGCAACTTGTTTTTGCAATGATTAATGACTTGAAGGTGTCGTGGTCTAGTGGATACTTCATCAAACTGACAATCACTTGGTTCACTGTTCGAATCCCAGCGTGGCAGGAATGTCCTTTGGCAAGACATTAATCTAAATTTGCCACTCTCCATCTAGGTGTCAAATAGGTAACCGATAGGATGTGAACAATATGAAATCAATATGTGTAGAAAATGTATGGTGCTCACTGATTGAGCCTTCATCATCGATTTTCTTGAACCCAGAACATTTTCTTCCAATTGTATAGTATTGTATTAAAGTATTATCAAATTATTGATGTGAACATGCCTTAAAACAAATGGTGTTGTTTTACTCTGGACTTGGCCTTGAAACTTGCCTACATCATTTACCTGTACATGCACCTTCTTGACCACTTTTTACAAGAATTTGCCTTGTTTTGACATACAGATTGACTGCTACTTCCATAATGATGATTTGTCTAGTTCTAGCTATTCCCGATGGCAGCTGCTTTGCAAATCGGACCATATTCAACTTGCGAGTTGGCATATCGTCTTTAATAGTGTGAAACAAATGGAAAGGGATTGTTTTATTGGGGGCTTGGACTCAAAACTTGACTACTTCTTGTGCATTTTTGTTCTTGCCTATGTTTTGATTCACAGATTGACTGCTATGACTACGAGATGCTTCGCCTAGTTCTAGGTATCATCAGCGATAGCTGCTTAGATGTGACGGATCAAACCCATTCTACTGAGGTGGTATGTATAAACAGTTTGTGTGTACATTTAGGCTACTTTTCATGAAAGCATTTTAACTTTAGTCCAGGTTTAACAGGGTAGGGTAGTCCATTGCTTCATGGAGTAATTAATGTAAATTTCATCCTGTAAAAAAAGACATAATTCTGTAACTTAATTATCATCATCATCATCATCATTTGTGAAAGTCTGCATTTTGCCTCTTACCAGGGATTACGAACTTTCGCGCCATAATGACACTCCCTCCCTCCCTTCACTTTTTCTTGTCTTGAGCGTCCACGTCATTCAGACCCACCTTCTGCTTTCTTTCTTCACCATATCTTTCCATGAGATATACTGTCTTCCTTTTCCTCTTATGCCATCCACTTCCAGATCCCACGCTCTTTTCACACGTTCATCATCTTCCCTGCTCAACACATACCCATCCATCTCAATCTACTTTTCTGTACCACTTCCATAAGCTCACTCATCTCCTTTATACTGGACACCTATCGGTCTCGCACCACACATCGACCCTACCATGGCTCTCAACATAAAATAAATTTGGTCATTTTCATTCCATTACTTAATTCAATTCATTATTCATTTACTTAAACAAGTACAGACAGTAATTTGGACAGTATAAGGAGCCTAATGCTCCATAAGTCAGTTTTACCAGGTTTAACTTAGTCCACTTTTATAAACAAAAGCCTTACAGTTTGGGGTGTTTTGTTTCTTTTTCCACCTTTTGAAGATTCTTTATATCACCAAAAAAATCAAAAGCACTAGTGATTTCAATAGAAAATGCATGATGTACCCAATATCAAGTGATAGTGAAGGAATTAAAATGGCTCAGTGTAAAGCAGTGGTCTCTTCACCGGGAGGGCCCGGGTTTGAAACCAAGTCGATGGGTGAGCCCTTTGGTAAGGCATTAATCGTCATTACCAAGTCCCTCAGAGAGGACTTTACAGCCATAGGTCTGCAAGTTAACCAGCTCACATTACAGGCATACACATACTTTAACAGCAGTCAGGTAAAAGAAAACGAGCTGAACTCGCCTTTTGATTTCATTTGTATGTGCAGTATAAGGAATATTATTAATTTTAATACGAATTTGTTTTTTTGATCTTTTTAACATACATGTAGGGTCTGCAACTTCTGGACTACCTAGAGGCATATACACGTCGTAAGCCCCCGTCAGAGTATGAGATCATGTTTCAACAGAGTGGAGAAGATGAAGGGGTAAGCAAAGTCCATTCTTTTGCACTTAAGATAGGAGGGGTGGTGGATTGCACTGGTCTACAGCAAGATGCATCATTTACAAATGAAAGACAAACTAAATTTAAATAATTGAAGAAAAAAAAATATGCTGATTAGCCACCTTTTAAAGAATATTTTTAGTATCACTTTTCATTTATCACTTATATGTGTCCCCATGGTATACATACTAGGTGTAAAATACTGCTAATAACTGAAAAGCTAAAGATTCAAACGAAACTAAAGCTTGCACGTTGTCGGGTAGAAGGTTGTCATATGTATTTGGAAGTAAGTGTTATGCGATGGAATTTCATGTTGCGTCATATTTTCTAACTTCCATTAAATTTCCTTTCAGCTGATGCTTACCACAAAACCGCTACCACCGCTCTCAAAGACAAGACTACCATTCCATCCTCTGCTGAAAGGTGGACAGTGGAAAATTCTCTGTGAGTTACTTTCTTTGATTTTAGTTTTAATATACAGACTGAATTATTAAGAACTCAAAATGAATTCATCATAGAGAGCTTTAGCACAGTGATTTAACCTCTCTAGTGTTTCTGTAGATTATGAATGTTCATATCAAAAGATGATTAGATTGAAAGAAAAAAAATACAGAGCTTTTAAACAGTGATAAGTACATTTTGAGTATTTATGTCGATTGTTAAAATGCTTATGTTAAAGCTAATTGGTGTGGAAAATACACTTACTCTTAATATTTATAAAAGAGCAAAAGTGAAACAGACCTTTGGCATAGTTGCCCTTAAGAAAATCATTAGTTGATAAAAGTAGAACAGGTAAATTTGAGAGGCATTATTATTTGCAGAATTATACTTATTTTAGTTGGTGGTGATTGCCTAGTTTGGCCAATTGCTTCCAAATTTGGCATACAAAGAAATGGTTTAGTACTTATCCTAAAACACAAAGAGCAGGGTGCAGGTGTTATATGGATGCTGTTTAACTTGTTTGGGAATTCTGACTTGCAGGTCGTGAACTCAGTGAAGACACTCTGAGTGAACTCCTCCCTATTGCTGAAGTACTACGGGTAAGTTTTCAATTATTATTTGTTATATTTTTTTTTTTTAATTGTTTATACAAAATTGTGCCTGTCAGTTCCTCTTCATTTGATTCATTTTGCACAGCTGAAGGCTGTTCTTCAGCAATTCTTCAGAATTTATATATATATATATATATATGTTTTTGAATGCTTGTTTTATATGATTGTACATGTATGTTTGATGTAAACTTGCATTTTTAGTCTTTGGACTTTTTGACGAGTCTTAAATAAAACCTCACATGAATTGAATCGAATAGAAGTATACATGAACTGTAAAATATGATAGAGAATTTACATGCAGTAACGGAACACATTAAAATCAAGCGATCCTGTTGTGTACAATTTGCAAGATACGTGTTATGTGCATCAGCCGTGTCTTCACATGTCCCCACAGCTGGGATAAATTTGTGAGTCTCTTCTTTCTGTTTGGGTTGGTGGGCAATTTCTTGAATCACGTCTTTACTCTTTACTCACCAAACTTTACTACAACCTAATTTCGAGCATGATAACAGTTCACAGTGATTTCTAAGCACATTTTGGGGACTAAATCTTAAATAAGGGCTTCAAGATCTTAACCATTAACAATGATAATGATGATAATAAGTCCATTTATATAGCATAATAGCTACTATATGAATATTCTCCACTGCGCTTATTACAAAGTATCATATTGTTACCCTGACTGAATCCGGGTACCCATTTACTTCACCTGGGTGGATAGTGGCAAATGTAGATTAATGTCTTGCCAAAGGACATGAGTGCTGGCAGGACTCGAACTGCGAAGCACGTGATCCACAGTTTAGTGACGTATCCACTAGACCACGAAACATCTACACAATAAAAAATTATGTACTTTTGTTCACTGTGTTTTACTTTCTGTTTCCCTCTTCAGCTTTCCACCGATCAGCTGTATGTAACCACAATCCAGAACATAGTCAAGGCAAGACAGCTGGGTCAGAAGGTTGCTACAGATGAAGGTAAGGTCATATTACCTGTATCCTCTCATGAGTTTAACTCATGAGCTTACACATAAATGAGCAAGACAAAAATTAACGTAGCCAGTGTCATTTTTTGTCTTATTTTTTTTTGTGATATTCGTTAGGCTTGCTCTCATACACAATTCATATTCTCAACCACTTGTGAATGACATATAAATAAAAATGCCGTCTATCTTTTTTTCTTCTTCAAATCATGTTTCTTTGATTGTAACATCCTCTGGAAATATAATCACCAGTTTGAAGAGGAGAGGAGGTTTTTTTTCTTCAAAAGATAATTGACAAAGCTGCCAAATTTTGCAAATTACACTTGAGCTATTTCTTAAATCACTTTTCACCTGCATATTGTATTACTCTACATCTTTACTAGACACCTCTACTTTGAAAAAAAAAGCAAGATCATCACATGATACATCCGGCAATGACAAAATGTGCCTTTCTGTCCGTATCTAGAATCTAATTTATGAGAAGAAAAAAAAAGTTCATATTTTTTTTTATGACAGATGGCGGGGGCGACAAAGGATTCCGGCCACCCTGTAAGCTGGACATGGATACTCTAGCTAAGGTCAAGAACATTCTGCTCAAAGTAAAGCAGCCTGAGATGGCCGTAGTGACGGCTAGATTCATAGCCAAGGAGCTCCAAGTCAGTAAGTAATCCTGTCTGACCTATGTACAATCAAACCTGCTTTTAGTGACTACATGTACCTGTCAACAAAGACTACCTGTCTACAAAGACCACACTTTTTGTTTCCCTTGAAAATGGTTTCTCATTGTAACATGTACTAACGGAACCTGTACATAAAGACCACTTGCTTATGAAGACCACCTTTCTTGTCTCGTTTGAGTGGTCTTAATCGACAGGTTTCACTGTATTTGTCAGCATATCCTTTTGGATGAAAAGCAATGATGTGACACTCATGCTTATTGTGTGCACGAGCATTCAAAATAATAACCTTCTTTGTTCAATACAGAAAATGTTTTTGAAATTATCTGCTGATTTAATGTTCTTGTGTCTGGAATGATTGCGAAACCAATGAAATGCAATCTACCAAACCTGTCGTGTTTAGATCTACAAACATATCCAAATATTGTCTTTTTAGAGCCGGAAGGGTGTTAACTCTGTATTAAAAGATAGATAGAGTAAATGCCTTTTCGATTATTAAAAAATAGGAAGATGAAGAGAAGCTAGGGAGTCGGGGAGGAATCTAGATTCTTTCATGGAGCAATCATGGAGAGGCATTTTGTACCAAGTGGTACAATAAATCAGTGTATTTGATGTCTTTAGCGCAGTACCCCGATGACAGATCAATATTGTTTTGGCATTGCTTTGTCATCCCGGAACTTCAACTGTCGATACAATATTGCTTGATTATCAAATTTTGTTATTTCGCTAGTCATAATAATAATAATAAATTACATTTATAAAGCACTTAATACGATGTTTTTAAGCGCTTAACATATCAAGGTACAACGTAAAATAAACATACAGCAATAATAATATATAATTCTAATAACAACTTTACAGATAATTAAAAACTTACTAAACAAAATTGCCCTATAAATTACTATTTAAACAAAAAATACTTAAAACTTGCCTTGAAAGACTACACATGGGGATTGACAAATAATAATTGGTAAACTGTTCCATAATTTAGGAGCTGCAATAGCAAATGTACGATCACCATAGCGGGTATTGGTTTGGCGTATTGGAAATTAGCATGTGTAGTTGACCGTAATGAACGTGATGGAACAATAGGTTTGAGAAGGTCGCTTAGATATGATGGATATGATGGAGCATAACCATGTTTAATTTTGAATACTAACAAAAGAATCTTAAATTGAATGCAAGTTAAATTAGGTAGCCAATGAAGAGGTCTAAGAATAGGAGTTATGTGTTCATATTTCCTGGTTTTGGTAATGAGACGGGCTGCCATGTTCTGAATATGTTGGAGTGGAGAAATGGTAGAATTTGGTAAGCCAAAGTACAATCCGTTACAATAATCTAAATGAGAAGTCACAAAAGCGTGAATCAATCGTTCTGTAGACTGTCTGTCCAAATATTTACAAAGTTTACTAATCCTGGAGAAACCAAAGGCAGCCGTCCGACAAGTATTCCTGATGTGTTGTTTCATATTCAGGACATTATCAACAGTGACGCAATAATGATATTGTATGGCTTTGTTTTTGTGTGATACAAGAATAAGAATATATTGCTCTCGCTATAACAATATTGGACTCGTCCAATATGGTCATAGCTCAAGCAATATATCTTATATTAGATAGCTTAGACAGATACCGAGATGTAATTGGTCCAGAGCTCATCATGTGATATCAATTGCGAGGATCCAAATTGTTATATTTTCCTGTATCTCACTCTGACTCAAAGCAATCCAATATTATATAAATATTCATCTTGAATTTCCAGGCAAACAGAAGGAGATGGCTCTGAAGATGTGTGAGCGACTAGCTAGTAGATGGCAAGAGTTAAGTGAAGAAGGGGTAAGTATATGACCTCCCTATTACGAACATGACATAAAATTTATTGGAATGAACAGAATATTGTTTTCAGATGGGTGATCCACAAAACGCATTTATCGTGTATGTCTGTGAATTGGTGCACTACCTTTCGTTCATTCATCAAATCTTTGATCAATGAACTTATGAGCATTATCAGATCAATATGAAACATATTGGCACGGTAGATGTTTTTAAAATGCGGACCCGTAAAACACCATAAAGGCTCATCCAAAACCGCATGACAAAATACAGGGATATTTTATGTGTAAATCAATGGCAAATGGCCATAAATAAAGGGGTTTTACACATAATAAAGCGTACTCTCTTATTTTTGTGTGATAAGGTACAGAAATGCAAGGTGCATTACGCTTTAATATTGTCAGGTCAGAGCCAGAAGGGCATTAATGCTGTGTTAAAGAATGAGAGTAACACCTGTCGGACTCCAGACAGGTGACATGTCTTTTAAATTTTACTACGGCAGTTTTCTTGAGGCAATTTTTGTAAACGAAGCTTAGAATTTTTTTTTCTTTTACCTCCTGTTAACGTCAGACTCCTGACCACCAGAAGGCTTGTGCCACTCACCAGCGTCTAGTTGCCGAGCACCGAGCTGTCTGCACGGAGGAGGCTCTCCGGAGGCATGGCCTGGCCGATCCTTCGCACGTTCAGATGATCGCTACACCCGCTAAGCTCATCTTCAAGCTCTACGAACACCCTAGCATTGAGCAGCGTCTGCAGGGTTACCAGCATAACCTACCAGGTATGGTTTTGTGGTCAGTCAGTGGGCGTGGACTGTTACACAAATAATTGCTTTATAATGTTTTGGGGGGCTATTTGTAAGTAATCTCATTGAAGTTTCAATTTGTGTAAACATACTAAAAAATCTCGCAACCATTAATTCATCAACATAAGGTTTCGGAATCTTTGTAAGATTCCATTAGAAATTAACTTTGATTGTTCCCTGATTGTCTGTAATATCTGGCTCCCAGGATACTGATTTCTTTACTAAAATTGCCACCCAGGCAAATGACGGGCCTCGGGGGCATATCAGGATGTAACTTCCCCTTGAGCCTATAGAAACAGCAATGCCTCTCATAGCAGTCAAGATATCTATACTAACAACTAAAATCAAGCAAAAAATCAGGGTTACAATATATGTAATTACATATACGCTTTAAATATGTTAACTCCATTATTTATTTTATTTGTTTATTCTGTGCACTAGATATCAATGCTGCAGTGGAGGAGATTGCCAAGATAAACAACAGTAATTTAGAGAAGATTAGAATTCATCTGATGGAACAATGGATGCCTCAACCTGTCATGAGCAAACAAGAAGAAACGGTTTGTTACCTTCCAGATATTTGAAAAATATTTAATCATGAAATGACGATTAAAGCGGGACTGTGTTATAACAATTTTTATGCCTCCGCCACCGAAGGTGGTGCCGGAGGCATCATGTTTTCGGGTTGTCCGTCCGTACGTCCGTCCGTACGTCCCGTTTGACCGTTATCACAATATCTCAAGAACCATTTAAGATTTAAACTTAAGACTCGGGAATAGTATTTATCACCATAGGAAGACAATCTGATTAGATTTTGGAGTACGTAGGTCAAAGGTCACAGGTCACAGAGGTCAACTTATGAAATTCCTTGTATTGAGTTTGTTAGCGCGATATCTCAAGAACCATTTGAGATTTAAACTTCAAACTTAAGGATAGTATGTATCACCATAGGAAGACGATCTGATTAGATTTTGGAGCACGTATGTCAAAGGTCAAGGGTCACAGAGGTCAACTTATGAAATTCCATACATTGAGATTGTTATCATGATATCTCAAGAACCACTGGAGATTTAAACTTCAAACTTAGTGATAGTGTGTATCACTATAGGAAAACAATCTGATTACATTTTGGGTCACGAGGTCAAAGGTCAAAGGTCACAGGGCTCATTATGTATGCAAAAACAGCTTGTGATCGCGTTATCTGAACAACCGATTGATGGATTCCTGCCAAACTTTGGTCATGTATGTATCTTGCAGAGCTGATGAACTGATTAGATTTTGGGGTCACGAGGTCAAAGGTCACAGGGCTCATTATGTATGCAAAAACAGCTTGTGATCGCGTTATCTGAAGAACCGATTGATGGATTCCTGCCAAACTTTGGTCATGTATGTATCTTGCAAAGCCAATGAACTGATTAGATTTTGGGGTCACGAGGTCAAAGGTCACAGCGCACATTGTGTATGCAAAAACAGCTCGTGATCGCCTTATCTCAAGAACCGATTGATGGATTCCTGCCAAACTTAGGTCATGTATGTTACTTGCAGAGCTGATGAACTGATTAGATTTTGGGGTCATGAGGTAAAGGTCAAGGTCATGCGGCTCATTATGTATGCAAAAATAGCTTGTGATCGTATTATCATTAGAACAGATTGATGGATTCCTGCCAAACTTAGATCATTTATGTATCTTGCAGAGCCAATGAATGGTTCATAAGATCACAAAGGTCATGGGCTCATTATGTATGCAAAAATAGCTTGTGGACGCATTCTCATTAGAACTGACAGATGGATTACTATTTAACTCAAAAAATCTTGCAGAGCCAATGAACTGAGTAGATTTTAGGGTCATGAGGTCAAAGATCAAAGGGTCATATATGTATATGAGAAATCGCTTGTAATCACAATATTCTGAGAACATGTTAATGGATTACAATTGAACTTGAATTTGAACAATTTCTTCTGTTTCGGTTTGTAAAATTGCTCTATGACGGAGGCATCATTTTCGACTGCGCGCAGTCGAATTCCATCTAGTTTTTCCTGCGACTGTAGTAATTTCCTTTTTGTGTTGAAACCTTGGTATATCAGGGGCTAAAAACTATTAAAAGACCAAGGAAGTGGGACCAGCAAAATTGCTTACTTGTAATTTGAATTTATTACAGTGTTCTTTGTACTGATGTTCCCACTAGTTTGTTATAACAGTGTTCTTTAGATCTTTGTACTGAGGCTCCCCTGTAGAAAAATGGGTGCACTGGTATAATGTACTGGGAAGAAGTAATGGGGAGTTATTTTGTTTTTATCTTGTTTTTTTGTTGTTGTTGGTTTGTTTTGAAACAGAATGGGAGATACAGATATGCATTGTGAAGTATGCTAAAAATGAAATAGATATTATGCCTAGATCACCAAACTAAAGAAAATATATTATGTGTTGCGTTGCGTTTTTGTCATTCACTCGTAGACCATGAACTTCTCATTTGGGTCATCAGGAGAGGATGAGATTCCAGAAGAAGAGAGAAGTCTCATGAGGTAATGATCTACTTATTCTTCTCCTTCTCCTCCTACTCCTGTTTATTTTCCTCATTCTCCTCCTCCACATCCTCTATCTACTCCTCATTTCTTCCTATTCATCTCTTTCCCTTATCTTCTCCTTGTTCTCCTCCACCTCCTCTCCTTCACCACTTTCCTCTTTTCCATCTCACTTTCCTCTTTTCCATCTCACTTTCCTCTTTTCCATCTCACTTTCCTCTTTTCCATCTCACTTTCCTCTTTTCCATCTCACTTTCCTCTTTTCCATCTCACTTTCCTCTTTTCCATCTCACTTTCCTCTTTTCCATCTCATTTTCCTCTTTTCCATCTCACTTTCCTCTTTTCCATCTCACTTTGTTCCTTTTCCTTTTCAAACATCTCCTTCTCCTCTCTCTGTTTTTCCGTATTCTCTTCCCACTGCTTCTAGTCTTCCTCTTCCTCCTTTTTCTTCTCTCTTTTTTCACTTTCTCCTCCTCCCTCTCCTCATAGTATTCAGCATCACCTGTGCCTGGCAGTGGGTGGGGGACAACTTAATCACTATAACTTAATCACTTTAAAGATAAACTCCAGTTCTGATAAAAAAAAGAAAATTAATTCTCACAGAATCAAATGAAACTTGCACTGAATGTTCAAGATTACAAATAAATGACATGTGCCAAACAATTTTGGAAGAAAATGTATACTGGCTGAGTAATGAGCATAGCAAGACAAGGAAATCAAGGTAGTACTAGCCCCGACACCATGTGTGGTGTCCCATATACAGCTTTCTGTGTACAGTGCTTGTTACTTTACCAAGACTCGGCCAAATTTATTATGATTTTGATGACTCCAGAACCTTGCAGTGCACACCGATACTTACATTCTACATGATCAACTGTTTCTGATCCATTCCACACCTTTTCTTTTACAATGCAATCGCATTACTAGAACTCACCATTATCTTTAATCACTATAACTTAATCACTTTAACCCTCAATCACTATAACTTAATCACTTTAACCCTCAATCACTATAACTTAATCACTTTAACCCTCAATACTATAACTTAATCACTTTAACCCTCAATCACTATAACTTAATCACTTTAACCCTCAATCACTATAACTTAAAACCCTCACTTTAACCCTCAATCACTATAACTTAATCACTTTAACCCTCAATCACTATAACTTAATCACTTTAACCCTCAATCACTATAACTTAATCACTTTAGCACTCAATCACTATAACTTAATCAATTTAATCCTCAATCACTATAACTTAATCACTTTAACCCTCAATCACTATAACTTAATCACTTTATCCCTCAATCACTATAACTTAATCACTTTAACACTCAATCACTATAAGTTAATCACTTTAACCCTCATTCACTATAACTTAATCACTTTAACCCTCAATCACTATAACTTAATCACTTTAGCACTCAATCACTATAACTTAATCACTTTAACCCTCAATCACTATAACTTAATCACTTTAACCCTCAATCACTGTAACTTAATCACTTTAACCCTTGATTCACTATAACTTAATCACTTTAACCCTCAATCACTGTAACTTAATCACTTTAACCCTCGATTCACTATAACTTAATCACTTTAACCCTCAATCACTATAACTTAATCACTTTAACCCTCAATCACTATAACTTAATCACTTTAGCACTCAATCACTATAACTTAATCACTTTAACCCTCAATCACTATAACTTAATCACTTTAACCCTCAATCACTATAACTTAATCACTTTAACCCTCAATCACTATAACTTAATCACTTTAACCCTCAATTAATATAACTTAATCACTTTAACCTTCAATCACTATAACTTTATCACTTTTACCCTCAATCACTATAACTTAATCACTACAACTTAATCACTTTAACCCTCAATCACTATAACTTAATCACTTTAACCCTCAATCGCTATAACTTAATCACTTTAACCCTCATGTTTATCTTGATTACCGGAGTGTTGGCTCAGTCAGTAGAGTGTCCGCCTCACAACCAGGAGGTCGTGGGTTCAAACCCTGACCGCGTCATACCAAAAGACGTTAAAAGATGGGAGTTGTTGCTACCTTGTTTGGCGTTCAACAGTAAGGGATAGAGCAATGTCGATCTGGTGCTGCTCAGTGGCTGCCGGGCTCACGATCAATTGGGCAAAAAGAATTTCTGTTTCGGTTTAAATAAAATTTGGAGTGGACTATAAGGCTGTTATTATTATTATTATTAGGATTTTTTTTTTTTTTTTTTTATTTATTTTATTTATTATTATTATTTTTTTTTGGGGGGGGATACTTCACCAGGGTGTCCCCCTACTCTTCCACAAAGTATGTTGTGGGTTCTCAATGTGCATAGGTTGTGATTCTCCTGCACATGGGGCCTCCGTCCATGACTGTGCCACCACGTCAACAAAGATCAATGTGCTTGGCATCCCTGTTCAATGTCATGTGTGCCTGTCCGTCATTTTGATGATTGATAAAGTATGCATAATTTTAAACTTAAATAAAAATCAATTTTCTCCTGCTTCAATATCTAGGTTGAAATATCTGCTGCAGAGACAGAATCCAGAGAGTACAGTCCTCTTCTTACTGAATGTTGCATTCAAGGTAATTTTCTTTGTGTTTTTATTTTGTGGCTCTTTGTCTCAACATCCAGTCATTCTTTCTCTTAATCCAATGATTTGTTTGAATAAGAATGAGGAAATTGTCCAGGCTGTTTTGGAAATGGAACTTGAAATTCATAATATTCATGTGAAATACAATTTTTTCTCACAAATACACAAAATTCTATTGTTGCTTTTGACAGATTTACTTTTGATAAATCAAATAACATTCTTTCAATACCCTTTTCATACCGTCAAATTGCTGATTTGCACTGGTTCAGGATTTTGGTATCGTATTTTCCTTGCTTACCGGTCATGTTAAAAGCAGTGTGTTATATTCCTAGATCTCATTACTAGGGTAAAAACCTGTAGAATAGCTCTGAAATATCAGACAGGAAAATACTTCGTGATTTGATAATACCCTTTCACATTTGCTGCTTTTGCTAACATATCCATAAAGGAGCAGCAATATTTGTGGTTAAAATTTAGCAAATACTGCTCCCCGATTCTATTGTGCAGTGTTGAATCTCTCATGAAGAGAAGTATGACTCTTGTTGTAATGTCGTTCATAAGGTTCATAAGGTTCATATTTATTGTCCATTAAACAATGAAAATTCCGTTTCGGTTTAATAAAATTTGGAGTGGACTATTAGGCTATTATTATTATTATTATTATTATTATTATACATATACTCATACAAAAATCAATACAATAATTGTTAAGTTGACAAAAAACAAAAACAAAGATATAGTCTTGCATCGAAAATAATATACATGTATTTATGATTGAGGTGGAATGACGATGGGATTTTACAAGTATCGATGATGTATTGTAATAATAATAATAACGTTTTATTTACCCAGGGTAGCCACTTCAGTTATGAAACTGCTCTTCCAGCGGGCCCTGCATAACATAATATGTTATTACTACCCTTCTCCAATCTAATATGCTGAGCGCCTAGCTAGAAGGCAGAAGGTCCCACTGTTATAAGTCTTTGGTATGACTCGGCCGGGGTTCGAACCCACGACCTCCCGTTCATAAGGCGGGCGCTCTAACGACTGAGCCACCATGCTTTTTTTCTTTCTAGCAAACCTCGACTCACGTCACTACAGGGTGCCAGGTGAGGGCACTACGTTGTCTCTTCTCTCTCTCCGATGATGCTGTCATTTCTCAAGTCTCCAAACAGTCTGCCTCTGAGCTCAGGTATGTAATGAGACTGTAAAGAGAAGGTTGAGCAAGGTTTTGGGAAATTTTTGAAATATCTTTTCATTCTTTTTTATAAATAAGTGAAAAAATGCCATTGTAGCAATGCATTGGATCGTTTGCTCCTGAAGTTCTCTCATATTACAAATATAACTAGAAATAGCTTGGAACATTTGACCAAATTATGATACCATATATTTAAAGAAGTGAAAATATGATGTGTTTTGTTGACAATACATTAAAAATTGTTAAATCTACAATGCGAATCAGTTTAAATTGATCAATGATACAGGTATATCATTAAAAATCTCTTAAATTCTCTCTGGCATTCTGATTTCCCTCTTTGAGTTTGTTGCATTTTACAGTGAGAAGGGATAGAGAAGGAAATAAAAATATTATGTATCGTACTATAATGTGAATGGGATCATAAATCCTCATGAATAACCAACAATCAACTATGATCTCTTACATTAAAGTGACTTGGTGACATTGCCTCAGATTCTGAAACAAAATCCTGGATTTAGCTCATGCTGCAATCATAATTATAAACCTTTAGGTCAGTCTATTTGGAAAAATGAGTATGGTAAAGTTTTTTACTTTTTTGAGGCACTTCATGATCATTTCGAAATTTGAAGCGCAATTTTTTTAGGGCTTCAATATTACACCATATCACAAACACTGATAACTCGTAGGGCCATGCATCTCAGATTTAATATTGTAAAACGATGCCTTTAAATACTAATGTCCTTTGACAGAGAGTACTTGAAGAATCTGGTGTATCTGAGTGAGTTTGAGGCTCTCAACATTGCCATGGATCTGTCCACATTGACATCCTCTAACAAGGCCAGTCTGGTCAGGGGTCTATGGAAGAACCACAACCATGAGCCCAGGGTGAGTAGTGGGGTGTTGCAAGAAAATTGCGATCGATTGCAAGATACAAAATTTGCAACTGATATTTGAAATCGATTGCAACTCAACTTTGTTGCACTAGTCTCCTAATTTTCCTAGGATTTTGTTAAGATTACAGTTTTAACAATAACATCCCCCCCTCTCTCTCTCTCTCTTACTAATGGGGCAATGCAAGAAAGTTGAGTTGCGATCAATTGCAAATTTGCAATGAATCGCAAGACTTACGCTTGATTTTGGGGATTTGCAATTGTTTGCAACTTTCTTGCAACGCCCCATAGGAGGTCCTATGACACCCTCTCTTCACTGGTTCTACAAACTTGTTTTGCTTACTTCTAACTCAGACCTAACATGAACCCTAACCCTAACCTACAGCCTGCATCATGATGAAAATTGGAAGTTAAAGATTTTCATTTTTACTCTTAATCCAAATTCATGATGATGTATCACAGAGAATATTTCACGACACCATTTTTTGTCTTCTTAAGATTATTTTGTCCTCGTCCATCTTGGATATAATGTGCAATAATGTCAAAGCGTACAGTTCCTGAACTTGATTAAAATTTCATTTAGAAAATAAGGGGTTTTCATAGTCAAACCTATAAGAGTGAGTATCTGTATTTCAGTGGTTAATTATAATAATAATGATAATAGTGAAGTCTTGATAGCGCTTATGTCTGGCACATTGCCACTCCTGATGCTCCATTATCATTACCCTGGTTTTAGCACGGCTGCTGTTACAGTGCTCGAGCATTGCAAGGAATCTATTCCTGGCAGGTAACCATTTACCTCACCTGCGTGGAGTGTGGCAATTGCCATAAAGTTTTAAACTCTGTTCTACCTGAAATTGTTCAGAAGTATCATGGGATAAGCTGTACAAGTACATGTTTTATTCTTTCATAATTCTTTTATCCTCAGAGTGTTCAGCTGATTGCCAAGCTTTGTCTAGAGTACGAGGTCCATGACAAACATCTCTGGAACAGTATGCTCCAGCAGCTGCAGAAATTTGGAATGGTAAATAATATACACTGTCTTGAAAGACTCTCTATAAATGGATGGTGATAGTAATAGTGTTATTTCAAAAGGGGCTCAGCTCTTAAAGATTTAGCTGGTGTCTCAATTATATGCAGTATATGCAGATACAATAAAACCTGTATATAAAGACTGCCCAAGGGAAACACAAAAGTGGTCTTTGTAGACATGTTCCTTTAGTACATGTTTAAATGAGAAACCAATTTCAAGGGAAACAAAAACTGTGGTCTTTCTAGACAGGTGGTCAATAAAGCAGGTTTGGCTGTATTTTTTTATGTTCCTCCCTTTTGAATAGGTAGTTTTACTTTATTTTGTGAAGTGATAATCACAATTTCATAGAAAAATAATGTAATTGTCATCAACCTATTAACAAAATGTTGTTGTGTATTTACACAGCACCTATTACTTTAAGAGTTGTTATTCTGAAATGTACAAAGGAAATCTTTGTCTGTTTAAAGTGTCTTTTGTTATTTTGCAATGTGCTATTAAACTAATCTCATATACAGACTGGTCCAATATATTGAGATTTTCACCCAATGTACAAATACGATAAAACCTGTCTATAGGGACTGCCCAAGGTAACCACACAAAGTGGTCTTTGTAGACAGGTTCCTTTAGTACATGTTTCAATGAGAAACCAATTTCAAGGGAAAAAGAAATGTGGTCTTTGTAGACAGGTGGTCACTAAAAGCAGGTTTGACTCTACCACATTACACATGTTTCTTTTTGATATGACTGCTAATATTTGTCTTTTGTTTTTATAAATGTTGTTGAATCCAAACATAGCTGGATTATTTGGAGTATGTATTGGTCCAACTAGCTGGGCTAAGGGAACTGAGGTCCATTCAGTGTCTGCCTAAGGTGTGGTCTGTCATCCTCGCTACTCCGTTCATGTCAAGTGAGTATCTCATAAGGAGGCGCAATAGCTCAGTCAGTAGAGCAGTGGTCTCATGATCCGGTGACCCGGGTTCGAAACCAAGGCGATGCGCTAGTGCCCTTTGGTAAGGCATTAATCCTCATTACCAGGTCCGTCTGAGAGGACCTAAAGCCGTCGGCCGTCTGGTTGCTTACTTACAAGCTTTTATGCTTTCTTAGCAGTCAGGTAAAATAACCACCACCACCAACCACCACCACCATCTAGTGCTCACCACCCCACTCTCACTTTATATACTGGTGCTTTTGATTCTCGTACTGGATGCCTTTTCCTACAAGTTCTTGAGTTGCCAAATTAGAAAATTCATATATTTCACTTTGAGTGCTATACTTGAAGCCTGTCTGCACTAGTTTGGCCAGGAGGGAATAGACGTCCATGTCGTGGTCACTGACAGGTGGTTATTTCATCAAATCAGCTCTCAATTAACATAAGAAAAAGGGGACCATGGGGGACCAACAGGTACCACTTAGGCATTGTATGCTATATAGAGGGTGCAAGTAGTGCAGACAGGCTTTTTAAGTGATGTTTATAAGGTCAGTAAACACAGTGAAAACATTTTTAGATTCATTCCATCCCCTTTAATTTACATACTATGCAGTGGAATATATTCTTTTCCAATTCGTTTTGATTAAATTGCTTTTTTGACTGGACTATTAATCTTCCAACCGATGTTTCTTTGCAGTCTGTACGCCACTGAGTGAGGAACAATCGGAGAGGTGTAGAAATGTGCTGTCACTAGTACAGAAGTAAGTCAGGTCCTATCATTTTTGACATAACATGCATTAGGGTCACAGGTCATTGCTAGAACAAATGTCACTTTGTCCACTTTCTGTCTAGACAAGACTGGACATCTTTTGATTTGTTGTCTGTAACAGAGAAACAGAAAATGGATATAATTATTATAGATTATCTTGTTCTCTATTATTTGTGCACCTACTTTTTGATTGTCATGATTGTATACATTTTTTGTTTACCCTGTGAAAGATTTTGTGATTTGGCTTGTGGCTGTGATTAAATTTGTATTAATAAATCACTTCAATTATAAGTACAAGTATTATTGATAATGAAATATGAAAAATATTATATTACCGTATACATCTTTCAACATGCATTGTCAAAATTAAAGCATGTATTTATTGGCAGCTGTCTCTAAAGTGGCACAGTGTAAGGAAAGCTCTTTGTTTTATTTTTAACCCCCCTGTGTCTCAGTATTTCTGAACAACTGTCTAAAATTGTCTTTCGAGAGTTTAATTTTTTATTATACTGCTTTTTTCATTGTCAAATGAAGCATTAAATACCTTTGAATGCATTTTTTATGTTCAGCTATTCAAACTTGGAAAATAGTTTTAGGAATATATATGTTCCAATTTGTAATCCTGAATCCTAATACAAAGTTAAATACTCGTGTTCTTGGGCAGGATTAGCCTCCCAGGGTTCACAAGGGGTTGACAAAGATGAAACGTTATTTTAGTCACTGTTCATTTGTGTTTAATTTGTTTGTTAGGTGTCCAGTCCTGTATGACCTTGATTTCATACGGCTTAGCTGTCAGTTTCTGAGGGTCGATATGCATGCAGAGGCCCTGGCTTGCCTTCTACACATACCAGACAAAACCAAGAGAGACACTCAGATTGATGTAAGAAATCTCCTGCTTCATATTAATTTCTACTTACATTGACCGATCATTTGGTGCCTGTATTTTAAATAACCAAATGATTAAGATTGAATGTTATACTAATGAAAGACATTTTGTTCTAATATACAACTGTTTTTATAATGCAATATATGGGATTGTTCTCTGAAATTAACTAAAATCTGTTTTAATACGATTGAGGAGGAGAATTAACTTTGTTTTGTTTGCTCCTTTACAGACCCTCTTGGATACACGTCATGTTATTATCTTAGATTCTCTGTCTCAACTTATGGAAAAGAAACAACCCCTACCAGAACATGAACATGTAAGCCATTGTCATCTTTTTATTGTTATTTGATTAAAGATCAGGTTTGTATTAAAAAAATGTTTAGTTTATATATGAAGACTGCTTGGAGCAGTTCTTGTCATTCAATTTTTCTTTGTCTCCTCTTAATTGTAAGTATACCATCTACGTATAGAAATTGAATATATGAAAACATGACATACAACAATAAAGAATTCTTCAGTAAATTTCTTATCAGTTTAAACTATAAAAAAAATTGAAAGCACAAGGTTGTGCTTGAAACCAACATGAATGATGTTCACATGGGCCACCCAAAATTTAACGCTGGATCCCCAAAACTTAAACCTTTTTTAACAGGGGGTCTTCATTATGGTAGGCATTATTTAATCAGGTGTAAAGGCATGTTTCTGAAAAACGCCAGTATATAACTCAGGTTGCTTATTTCCATACAGTACGGTTAGGGTTAAGGTTACGTTGGTGGATATCTTTAATAGAAATGTGCCTCTTTGACTGATTAAATAATGTCCAGCCTTCATTATAGAGCCCCTGTGGAAAATTGTTGGCGCAGAGCCCTGTAAGAGATATACCCCTATTTTTCTGTCTTTTTGTTGTTGATAGGTTGTCGCTGAAGCTTTCAGACACATAGCATCAAAGGGCATGTATGAACTCCTTCTAGAGACCAAGCACTTCATGGGACTGGTCCACCATCTGGCAAAGCACGATCAGCTCCAGGAGCTAGTCCAAAGGACAATACAAGCAGACAGGTACAAAACTCCCAGGCATACATTCATAATGGTGGACTATTAAAGGGAAATCTGGGGATCGTTTCATGAAACTGTCCTAAGAACAAGTTCACCACCATCCCATTGAAACGCATGTATTAAAATTAACACAAGTTTCATTGGGATGTCGGTGAATCGTTCTTATGATGGTTTTGTGAAACTATACCCAGGTTGAACTTAGTCCAGTGATTTACGGAGTACCAAGTGTCAAGATCTTTATTCTGTACAAATACCTGTTATTCTTTGACAAGAATCCAGTCATGAAATTAGAAATCAATTTTGTAATGACATGACTTTTGTTTTTCAATTAATTCAGTATTGTACTTATTTTTATGGGATGAAATGGTTGACTTGGCACTCCATAAACCAGTTGACTTACTATACTATCATAAACCTGAACTAAAGCTAGCACAATGGTATAAATATTGTCTCATTGTATAAAGGGAAAGTTTATTTTAAAACACATAAAGCAAGTATCCACTTCCCATCATTTGAAGCAAATATTCCAAGCATATTCAAGGCCCAAACTGTGACCTGCATTCCTCTTTGTTTACAACTTAAGTGTATATTTCACTGGCCATCCCAAAATTCATTGCTTGTATATTTCATCCTGCCTGAGAGTAGATTTCACGATTTGATTGACAGGTGGAATAAACATTGATTATTCATTGCTTGTAGATTTCATCCTGCCTGAGAGTAGATTTCACGATTTGATTGACAGGTGGAATAAACATTGATTATTTATTGCTTGTTGATTTCATGACTCTGAAATTCATTGCAAGTACATTACATCATGTGCTTCATTTGGTATTTCTTTCGTTGTAGATATCAATATTTCTTGACCAGTGTGTATTGAACATGACCTTCAAGAAATTAATAATCAGGACTGGATTTATATAGCGCTTGATACAAAATACCCAGCATCTCTATGCCCCTTACAGATATTTTTCCCCCGGTCATTGGATTTATTCATGCACAACGTGCATCATCTCCACCTCCTGGGAAGTATTCCTGCCATATGGTCACCATGAGGGCATATGGCAATTACTAACATAAAGGCTTTTTATTTACTCTAAATCTTATGGTACGTGGTTAAAATAGAATTGTTGAGAGCTTGTTGCACCTAATATTTGTCTTCTTTATAACACAGGTTATCTGATGCCATCAACCTTGTGAATGTTTTTCATGTCTACTACCCTGTCTCACCGGCTGCACACGAATCAACAGGCATGGAGCTCTTAAAGGTTAGGAACGAACCTCCATTTTGTGGTTGCCAATTTCTAGCATTTCTAGATTTGTTACCTGTACTATAAACTTTGTTCCTTTTCAAGTGACAATTCTTCACCTGAAGTAAAAAGTAAATAATACAATTTTTAATTTTGTTGTATATACACCAATGTTAAAGACAACCTTTTTGTAGCGTAGGGGGGGGGGGGGGAGGGTGTAGGATTACATGTACCTAAGCATTTTTATGCATATATTTTCTAATTATTTTACAGAGCAATTGTAACTTTTTTTGTTCTCAAGGTCTATAAAATACAAGCCATGCTTTTTTAATAGACTCCTCCACTTTGTTTTACCTCTGTGCCAATCATGAATAATTTATTTGAATAATTGTATAATCATTTATTGAATCTTTGGTTAATATCATGTTATTGAATTTGTATATATTGCATATTCATTTGATTATGTTATATTATGTGAAAATAAAGAAACCTTGAAACAAGGCGCTCTGTAAACAGTGGACTAACTTAATCCTCTGAGTAGGGATTTTAAACCTAGAGTAAACGCAGTATGCTTTTATGAACTCCCACATTCACGTTTTAAATATGCACATATGTTTATGAAGTTACAGTAACCCATTCTCATCTTTCTCTTCTCCAGGTCTACCTGGCATCCCATGGTCTGGAGGATGATGCCATGAACATCATGAATTTAATGAAGGAAGAAGACGACGACGCTGAATGATGCTTTTAGCTGAAGTGTTCTCCCTTGAATTTGATTTTTTACCGATAGTACTACTTTTGTGCCTTATCATTCCTTTGATTGTCAAGACCAAAGAACATTTCATTCGTTCATTTGTTTGTGTCTCGTAAGGTCAAGATTAATGTATCTTGATCTTCGGAGTAGTTGCTACAACCGGCCGTGTCAGACACGTTGCCCCGGAGTGCGAGATAGGACTCATGTAGCGTGCCCCCATTTAAAACAATTATACAATAACAATTAACATTACATTTAATTAAAAGTATGAAACTATTAAAATTACTCTCATGTTACAGGAAAAAACATTATAAAAAAGAACATTATAAAACTTGTAGTAAACTGTGATCATGTATGTTGATTGACTATGGACTTCTTTGAGCATAAGAGGCTTCTCACTTACAGTTGGATATCACATTTTACATCCTGCATCGACGTCATCGTCATCATCATCACATTCCAAAGTCAGCATTTTCCCTCTTACGAGGGCTAACTGACTTTTGCCCCATGATGACACTCCCTCCCTCAACTTCTTCTTGTCTCTAGCATCCTCTTCGTTTAGACCATCCTTACTGCCTTCTATCTTTGCTATATCTTTCCGTGAAACAATCTTGTGACATTATAATCTAAATGAGTTCACATGACAACTAAGTGATTGCTTGTCCATGCAGTCATCAGGATAGTATATCCATTACCTATGTAAAAAGAGAAAACAAATCATTTTGGCTGATTCCAAATGGAGTTTTTGTTTGTTTTTTGTATTGGTTTAGATATTATTTTCAGTTATAAAGCAGAGGACTAATAAAAGGTACAAGTTTGTTCCAAAGCAATATCTCGAGGTTTTACTCGTCTCTATTGTCAATAACCACATAAGATGAAATACAATAGTTACCGTAAATGTTATGAACACAATTGTTAGTTAATGATAATGCTAGGCTTTGACATTCATAAAGTTGCACTTGTCATTAACATACATTTTACATAATGTTTTAAATGAATTATGATTTTTGATGTTTTATGTCAAAGTTCAGGGTGCGGCCTATCGCCTCATACATATATGAGAGGTTTTTACCTTGATATATTATTCCAATGGTCCTCATGTGCTCATGTTGGGACTGCATATACAGTAATAAATGGTGGATTAGAAGTTAACAAAAAGAGAATATTAGTAAAGGGAAAGCATTGTCTTCCAGGAAATTCAGGGCTATTGAAAGACTGATCATAAAAAAAGAAATTTGTTTCTTTATTTATTGTTTATTTTGGTCCTAGATCACATTTATCATATCTTTACCAAACTTTTGTTAAATTGACCAACAATGCTAATTGCTATAGAAGTACAGTGTCTTCTTTTTGTGGCATTTTTAAAATTATCTTTTGATCTGGAATGCTATGAATTACACATATTGTAGAAGAGCAGAAAGAGCAAAATATCACAGAAAATATTAAAATCTATTTCAGTGCTGTACATTGTGCCTTTCATGAATGTGATATAGTATAAGGAAAATGCTTGGAGAAACAAAATCAATGCATGGAATGAAAGATTTAGATCTTCAATAATGAATTTTCTGTACAGAATTGACATGGCTTTGTTATTTTAATGCAATTGTATTTTGTATTTTATTATTTTGTTTAATTTATACATGGAAGTAGCCTAAATTGTACATTATCGGAGCTTCCTTACCGAGAAAATCATACAAGTATACACAATAAATGTTATGCTTCATATTTAATCTGTTCAGTTGTATTTTTCAATTCATTGGGCTGGTGTTCAGTTTTGCTCTGTTGGCTTCCATGTGACGGGAGATACTGGCCCGAGTGAAATTTAAAACATTGAGATTGATAACTTTGTAAAATTACGCAGGAAGGATGTAGATTAAACCTTTGATACTTCAAATACACTAGTGATCCAGAGATGGAGAGAGAGAGAGAGAGAGAGTGAGTGAGAGAGAGAAAGCAAGAGGGAGGGGGGGGGGGGGGGGTTCCGAAAGATTTTTTTTTAGATACAAAGAGTGAATGTTGTTTCTTAGAGTTCAGAATATTTACAAAAGATAAAAAAGGGAAATGTAATATAGCACCTAAGATTGTATGATCTCATTGCCAATGAATACAAAGGGACAATATTAAATTCACAAATTATTAAATACTAAAGACAGAAGGAAAGAAATGTAGAGGACCCAAAGGCATAATAACTTAGGCACAGGGTGACTGGCATCCTCGAAAAATCGACTTGCATTTTGCCAATAAGCAAAAATTGTGATAAAGTGATTTGACAATAAAATCTCATCAAAATATAATTATACTAGATAAGTCATAACAATCATGAATACTCGACATTGTGAATGTATGGTAACGTAGAGTTGGAAAAATTTAGGGGTTGGGGGTGGTGTTGTATCCTTCTCGTATATTATAGCTGTTCCTTTTAGTTACCAAAGATTGGATTGCCATGCAAAAATGCAAACAAAACAATAAATAAAGCAAAAATTTGCTCCCATTTCTAGTAATAATGACACACACAAACATTGTAGGCCCTATTAGCTCCAATTTAATCTTTCTGTCTCTTCATTTCATTTTTTCTTCTCCATTTTCTCTACTCCATTGAACTTCTTTTTATTCTTTCTGCCATCCTCTCCTTTCTCTTCTGGTCTTGATCTCTTCTCAGTTTTATCCCCCTCTTGCGATCAAATGGGGCAGGGGCTGCAGACACTCGACCCAATGAATATGACCATGCAAGTACTTATCAAAAAATCATGTTATAAATCTCATAGCAATGCATGATAAATTAACCGAATTTATTTAAAAGTAAAGTGTGTCGTGTCCGCCTGGCAAACTCAACAGGTTACTATAGGGTCGACCTATCCAGGGTTAGTAGTCGAGTTGTCGGTGGTCGGGTTGCCAGGATAAGAGGTAGTCGAATTGTCTAAAATCCTCCGAGTACTAAAATAAAAATGCACACGTAAGAATTTAATAACGCGTTCAATTTTTATAATTTCCTTGCATTATTCGGCATCATGTCAGCCACAGCTAATGGAGTTGACCCCGCTCTCGTTACCAGAATAGTGGACAGGGTGAAATCTCAAGGAATATTTGATCAGTTTCGGCGTGACTGTCTTGCAGATGTGGACACCAAGGTAATTTCACGAGAGTGTAATGCCAGGTACGGAGCTCTGTCGCCGCCGCCCGATGCTGCGGCGCAGGAGCTCCCTGGCCTAGGTCCTGGGCTTGGACTCTTTTGTTGGAGGCGCGGGCTGTAGTATTGCATTGGGCCCGGGTGCCCTAACTATCTGTCTGTGTGCAATTAGTTAACGTTTGACCTGAAATTGACACCTAACTATACCTAACTATAACTCCCAAAATCATCTAATTCTTCCACAATTGTTCAAATAACGGTTTAAACATATCTTTCTTACCTGGAGTGTTTCGTGTCAATTTTCTTTTCTTTTCTTTTTGGTAGGGTGTCTGATCGCGCACCCGATGTTGTATGCTCACTTAGACCGAATTTTCCGTCTCTTTCGTTCGTTAGCCTCTTATTGGGGTAGGGTCGGCATGCTCTCTCTTTAGAGACGGAAACCGTTTATACACATTCCCTTGATAACGCCACGGCCATTTCAGGTCGTATTGTTATGCCCCCAAATTCCCCAAAATGTCATTTTACCTCGTGCATATCCAATTGTAAATTAGGCCTAGGCTATAATACATCGGTTCCACTCACTGACTTGACTGAAATAATCCGTTTAATGGTCCCTTTTAAGGAAATTAAGGGTCAAAATCGACATCCATGTTGAAAATCTTGCAAGCCGTGTTAAACTCTCGCTGCGCATGCAGTCATCTAAATCAATCTCATCCCTTCTAGTCTACGCCGAAGGCAAAATGATAATGAAGGAAAAACTGTGATAACGCCATTACGAACGTGTAGATGGCGCACAGTTTTTTTCAAGGGAATGTATATAAACGGTTTCCGTCTCTAAAGAGAGAGCCGACCCTACCCCAATAAGAGGCTAACGAACGAAAGAGACGGAAAATTCGGTCTAATGCTCACTGTGCTAAAATCCCTCCCATAGAGATTGCACGCATCCCTATGTGGTCTAAGACTCTACGTGCTTTGCGCGACCATGCAAAATTGGTCAATGATTTTATGAAGAAATTGAAATTCAAACCTTAATTACTCGTGATCCTGAAGATGAAACTCAATAAATGTGTTGTCATATGAAAGAGCAGGTTTATCTCCATATTCCCCATAGGGGACCACCCCCAGAATTCTAAAAATATCTTGGTCAAAACAGCGATTGAAATTTTGTTTGCATCCAAAATTTGTCATTTTCCTGAGCCGCGCTCCCGCGGCTTAAGTAGGGCTAGACGTAAGGATAATATCCAGGTGCTTTTTTTTCCCGCTAGCCCCAAGGGATCATTTGGCCTAACAGTTTGAAAATACCCTTCCCACATTTTTGGAATCATCTAATTAGGGAGGTGTGAGCTCTGCTCAGTCCAAACCATGGTTACATCGCGTAACATCTGCCCGTATAGTGAATGAAAGTATGGATAGCCGTTCGCACCATAAACCCCGGAAGTGAATACACGTTATAGTCAATGGCAATATCGGGGAGACAACGTGCACGGGTTCTACGCGATATTGCCATTGACGATAACATGTATTCACTTCCGGGTTTTATGGTGCGAAAGGCTAGCCATACTAGTCAATGGTACATATCGCGGAGACAGCGTGGCTCAAGCTGCAAGTTGCGCATGACATGCGTACACTATGCATACGCTTGCATATCGCGCGATACAGCTGTTTGGCTAAATTTAGCAAAACAACATAACTCTGCGTGTATGTCTTTCTCGTCGATTCTGAGCAAAATCCTATGAATATTGCAGCGTTTCGGAGGGGCTGTATCTTTTGATAGAAACATCGGTGAGACTTGAAATTTGAATTGTACTATTCTGATTACATTTTTAATTCAAATATCAAACAAAAATGGTGAAAAACGATCCCAAATTGAAAATTGAAAAATTGTTCAGACATCCTATTTTTGGAGTATTTTTCCTAAAAACCAAGATATTAATTCTAGATCATTAGTAAACACTTTCTCACAGGTTTCATGGCAAATGGCTGCACAATGCAAGTGCATACCGACAATAGGCACATGCGTGAAGTTAGCGACATTAAATCTCAGATCCTCATTAAATTCATGCAAGTAATTCACATTATAAATTGATGATGATCATTACGGTCGCTACATACTGTACGCACTACGCTTACACTCAGAGAATCTATCTAAACCATGGTTTGAGATATAAAGCTCCTTAATGAATTTGCCATTTTATTATTTGTAGTAAATCTGTTTCATAGTCGCATTCTTTTTCATTGTTGCATTACATCAGCCAGCATACCAGAACCTGGGAACCCGGGTGGAGGGCTATGTGTCCTCTTTCCTGACCGATTTTGTATGGACACCGGACATGAACAAGAACCAGCTGAGGAACAGTCTCAGGAGACAAATTAATGAGTAAGGCAGCTTTTTAACCTTCTTTTTTGCAGTGTGGAATTGGAATTACAGTAAGCTTCATATAATTTTTCCAGTGTTAGGTCTTAATAATATGGTAGTACTTAAAATAGTCTGCGAGATGACTTTCCTTTGATATTGTAAAATGAGCAGCTTCTTCAAAAAATAAAGTCACCTTGAATGAAGAAAAGAATTCTGTTCGAAATTTTCATTACAATTTAAAACTCAGGACTGATTTCTTTTGATCAAGGTGATATTTTTTCTGTTTAATTAACCCAATTCTTTTCTTAACCTTTATACTGGACACTCCAGCAAATTTGGAATCATATCTTATTAGCGCATAATAATTTGATAAGATATGATAGTGAGAGATGATTCAGCTGATCCCAATTTTTTGTTGTATTTCATTAACTTGTAACTTAACAAGTGACAGTGTACAGTGGTGAAGCATTGGCCTAGATATGACCATCTGAATAACATTACGAACCAAAGCAAAAGAACACTGAGTTCCTATAGGAAATCTATTTATTCAGATGGTCTTATCTGGGCCAATACTTAACATATTAATTGGTTTACGACATTTGGACATTATTTTTGATGCTCTTTCAGAAAATAATGAAAATTGAGAAATTCTAAAAATATATTTTTATGATGCCACAGCTTCGGTACTCTATAGTCCATAGCTTATGCAGTTATGTAACCCCATCACACTCTTTGTGATCATCAAACTATCTTAGATCTGAGATGCTTGCCTCAGGAGTGGAGAGAGTCATTGAGCAGGTGGTGGACGCCCAGCTCCAGCAGATCTTCCTCCCTCGCATTGAAACGGTCGTCAAGGAGTACCTTCACAGTGATAACACACCATCCTCCAGTGATGTCAAACCGGGCATGGAAAGTGGGTCCATACCCGCTCAACCTGGTCAGTAACCCTAGTGCTATCAAGAGTTCAAGACCTTAAAAATAAATGTAGTGGCTCAAAATTTCTTAGACATTGTTTGTACCAAGATTTATGTTGTTCCATGTCAGGATCTCTACAGTTGGATTGTAATGAGGTTCAACTGTAAACTTTTCTATTTATTGTGTATTTCCCCTACCCCCTTTTTTGATGGAAAATATTGAAGATGACTTTTGTTACCCTTCTAGTTTTATTTATCTTGCATTTTATTTCATACAGGGAGCAGTGGTTCTAGTCCTATGGTTCTTGGAGTTAAAGGATCTCCTGCCGACAGTCCTCTTCCTGGATGGAGTGCTGCAAACACCTCTCTGCAGTCTTCAACGTCCTTCCCCAATCAGCCCCCACTTCCTGGTGAAACCCCAGACCAACCCCAGCCTCCACCCTTGCCAGATTCAAGTGCTGTCCAGGAAAAGCCTCCTCTACCTCGCTCGAGAGAAGCATCCCCACCTCCGTTGCCACCAAGCACGATACCAGAGAGAACCAGGCACACATCTTCCGTGTCCTCTTCACCGAGTTTGGACTCGATATCATCTGATCCGCTTAGCATTGACAGCGAGGAAGAGAAGCCAAAGGTAGTCCCGAAGACCAGTCCACCAAAAACTGCATCTCCTGCCTCCTCCTCCAAGTCCACTCCAGGAAAGCCATCTACTGGGAAGGTCGCCCTAGGAAAGAGGAGAGTGATCCTGAAGAAGGTGGTGGTTCGGAAAGCAGATGGCACCAAGGTGGTCCGGGTAGTCCGGATGGACCCCACCAAAGCAACGGCCAAAAGGCTTTTGATGAGGGCCACATCAAGAGCTGCCGGTGATCAGGGTGGATCACCCAAAGGGAAACCCATCTCTCTTGCCAAAGTTAAGACAGAAGAGGGTAGACAGCAACCTGAGGAAGAAGACAGTCCTGTCAAGAGCATCAAACTGCCGGAAGATGATCTCTCAGGTGATGTCCTAGTCAGTCCATTGCTGGGCAAAAGGAAACATTTGCCTATCGACACCAAATATTTGAAAGTGGCTGAAGCTCAAGATCCTCAAGTTGCTCTTCAAGTCAAGGATGAACCAATGAGCAGTGGGGATGAGGAGAAGTGGACTCCCAGACCAGAAAGGCCAAAGCGCAGAGGATTCTCAAGGGAAGAAATAGCAGCTGCCCACGATGCCTCAGACAGTGATGAGGAATCAAGGCCATCCCCTGTGATTCCCAAGGAGGAGGACAGTCTGTCCAAGGACTTGGAGGATGTATCCTCTTCAGGATCAGACATGGACTTTGAAGAAGGAACTAGTAGTAACTCTGCTCCAGATAGAAGAGACTATTTCCCTGCTGATGCCTCTGACTCTGACAGTCATGTGTCTGATGTTACTGTTAGCTCTGTGCATACCAGTGACCTTTCGTCATTTGATGACAAGATCAGTTCATCATCCAGTTCATCTTCTAGCAGTGAAGAAAGCGAAGAAGATACCGATGACTATGGCAAAAAGCCTGGTAAGTTAATTTCTAAAGAATTTACCTTTTCGCAAACCCTGTTTCCCTATCTATTGCATACAAAATACAAAGGCGTGTTACTTCCAATAAGAGCAGTTCGAGAAACTTATATTAGTTTGTTGAAGATTTCATCTCGGACTTTCATCTGGTGCCTGGTCCAAAAGGTACTCCTTACAGTTCATTGTGGCCTTGATATTTGTATCCGACTTGATGAACCTTTGACTTTAATTAAAATTGATATCTGTGCCTGTAAGTTGCAATTACCAATGCTGGGGGTGTTTCACAAAGATCCCAAGTTGAACTCATCTCTAAGTTGGACTTAACAATTATGGAAAGCTGTTAGCATATTTGAAAATATTTTGTAAAAATTATTTTAAAAGGCATAAAATGTTGATTCAAATCATTTATATTTTCTATTATCAAGGAGATTTCACGTTCTTGATGTGGAATTTATAAAAAGTCTAAAATAAATTTTGAATATATTTTATTTTGAGGCTACAAATGGCTCTCTATAATTTTTAAGTCTAACTTAGAGTTAAGTTTGAGTTGTTCGATCTTTGTGAAACACCCCCCAGGAGCTTAAAACTTTCTTTGTAAATCGTAAAAGGAGTGAGGTCATAGCACAACCTGTCAGCTGCTTTGGAGGTCCTGCCTTTTCAAATGTCCATTTATCATTTTGTCATCAAGATTATGACTTTTATCAACACTCCTAATATATCCAACCTTCAGCAAAGCCAACGGACCAGTCCAGGGCAGATGCCAAGCCCATGCTTCTGGCCTCCAAGGAGGAGATCCTCGACCGAAGCGTGTCTCCTGCATCATCCGGTGGAGGGAAGACATCTCCTAGGCCGGTGGTAGAGGCTAGGTGGAAGAGACAGCACATGGTGGACATTGAGGATGAGGAGACGAAGGCAGACAGGAGGAAGAGGGCGGTAAGTTAGTTAGTGAGATGGTCGTGCTGTCTGTCATCAGGGCAGGGCCATCTTTGTCTGTTCTAACTACAGTATTATAATGTGCTGCATGTATCGCAATGGGAATTCATTGGCATGGCAATGCAGTATGTTAGTCCGTGTTAGAGGTTTGCTTTAGATTTATCCATGTTAATGCAGCTAAATGTTCCAAGACCTTTTTCAAATTCTCTTCATCTTGCATTGTTTCAAACTAAACGGGATGAAGTAGGCTAAAGTGACAATTGATAAAATACATTTATAATTGTAAGCATGACACAGTCAGATTTATGTTTTTATGTTGGGGAAAATAATGCCTTTTCTATTTATTTTGAAATTATGATTTAGAAATCAAGTGCTCAGTTTGAATACTGGTTATGTTGTGGTGCAATTAAGTTGTCAGTTTTATTTTATTTATTAAGATAGAAATATGAGAATGACACACTAGCATCCAAATTATAATTCCTGCCTAATATACATTACAATTTCTGCTTCCCGCACATCACCAATTGTGTGTCAATGATAGTTTTGACTACGTGTATGTGAGTGAGAGACTAGACCAGACCATAGGGCAAATATTTGGTAAAAGTCAGGATTTAGTACCTGGAGGTAGGAGAGGAAATAGTTTGTAGCCTAGGTATTACCAAATGTGCCTAATATTCTTTTAAAGCATTGTATTGGATAACCTTGTCACAAAATGGAAGGAGTCCTTTACGGCATACCTGCTTTGTTGTTTAAATATCAATTTGTTTTAAAATATATGCAAGTAACTTCAAATCCCTAAAATCCATGATGACAATGGCCAGTCAAATCTAAGTGTTTGTTATATCTTTGTCTTCCGTTCCAATATGAAACAGGATACGAAAGTTTGGATTGATCAGCATCACCAAGCTTCTGGATCCAAAGCCAAGAAGGTGCCCTGTTCACACCTTCCTCTTCTTAGGGGCCTGTCACACTGGGTGCATGCATGCACGCGTTCACACAGAGCATTGATAGGCACAATTGTTGCATACACTGTATACTGATTCACCTTCACACACAAATGATTTTTAAAAAGAGAAAAAAGGGCACAGTCTGTCAATTTACACTTCACAAGCTGATTCTGACAATCTACAATAGTCACCTAGGTACACCCGATGCATCAAATAATATCAATTCAACATGGGATAATTCCCTACATGATTTCAAACTGTAACTTCCATGTTTATTACATTTCTGGCATGATTATTTGGGGAAGCAGTTGTGTGGTGATCGTTGCATCAACTGCATGCATTCAAAGATGAATTTTGTTTGATCCTTGAAAATGAAAATGAGATCAGAAAGATTTACACAATGAAGTCCTCTGTATAGAGTACCGAAGTGTGACGTCATACTGGCCAAGTAATTAAGGTTGCTGGTTCCAAACAATTTTAAGCTAAACAATGGTGTGGTGATCACACCAGTGCCAATCACATAATTGGCCCTGCTTCAGCCCTTTGCTTGAATTTTTTCGAGGTGAACCTCATGCACAGGCTCTGTTGTTTGGAACCAGTAACCTGGACGGCAAGCGAATATGACGTTAGTACTTCAGTACTCTATTGAGCCATAACAGTGAATCCATTGTGACATCACAATGCACATTGATGTTTTGTCATGCACATGCACGCAAAAGAATTGCTTATATTATGCTCCAGGTGATGCGTTCACATGTGCATCCAGTGTGAAAGGTCCCGCACACAAACCACATCACATGATCAAACTTCATTTCAGTTCATAAAGTGGTTGGAAAAATAGGGAAATCATAGGTCGAAAGTTGGAAGAAGAATGGGAATCATCGCATTTATTTGAAATTATGTTTCGGGGATGGGGGTGTATCATGTTTGTTTTGTGGTTTAGGGGCTGGGGAAACGGACAACCATTTGACTCTCTCCATTGTCATTTTCTAGGTCATTAACTAAAAGTTCACACACATATATTTTGTCAACAAGTTGTGAACAGCATTGCTTTCAAATCAAAATTTGAAAATAGCCTACTCTTTTGTATGAAAAATCTTGATTAATGTTAGTTTGAAAATTCCTGTACCCGCAAAATGAATTTCTCTGGGGCTGTTCTTATTTACATGTTGTTTGCAATATCCGAAGCAAATTTGCTATTGCAGCCCATTTATTACAAGTAAACTGGTGTTTTATTGTTCATGTTTTAAATCAGAAGAAAAGAGAAGATTTGAAGCCCACTCAAAAATGTATATCTTTTCCAACTGTTGGCGAAACAGGATATTCTTGGGTTAATTACAAATTTATCTTGTCACAAAAATGATGTTAGTTGAAAATGTATACACATGGAGAGAGCCAGGTAGGTAGTTGCTGACCAAATAATCTATAAGATGTGAGTTCTTAAGCATTTATTTTTAATTGGTGTAGATAGATATTATTTCTGGTGGCTCGGTCATGGTTTGATGTCAGACAAATTTGTACCGATTCTGATTGATACTTGTGTGCAAATGGTTACTATCGGTCTGATATTTTTGAAGGAAAAAATCACAAAAAAAACACCCAGGGAAGTAGACATTACTTGATAAATTGACTTCAAACAAATTATTTTAGATGTAATATTTTATGTATCTATTGCGTGATACCAGTTATAAAGTTTTTCCTGTTTCATGTGAGTTTAAAAAGACTAACTAAAACTTGTCTGGTGTAGGAAACTTGAGACTCTGACAAGAGATTCTCAATTTGGAACATGCTTTCGTGACAATAATCTTGTTCTTATTCTTCATTTAACTCTTTAAAGACCCCAGAATTTGTATACAATTTTAAACTAGCTCAAAAACATTGATATGCTTTTTAAGGCATTCTTATGCTTAAAGTAACTCATTAAAGACCCCATAATTTTTATACAATTTTAAACTACCGGTAGCTCAAAAACATGGATATGCTTTTGAAGGCATAACTTATGGAAGAAAAATGATGCTTACTTTGAGAATAACAGACTGAATCATGACTCTGCCACCAACTCTTAAAGGCTTAAAGTAAACTGACTGCAATTAACCTCTTCTCAAACAATTATTGCTGATATATCTCTGATTGCTATGACATTTTGGTGTGTTTAAACTGTGTGGCGTGAGACATAACATTGCTGTTCTTTAACCCTTTCTGTACTGTAACCAGGCTGCCTTTGTATTAGGCATGTGGGAATAACAGCAGCTGGGAGTCAAGGGATTAATCAGGCTCAGCTACCCCAACTCTGGGGGTAAATTAGTAGAGTTTTTGTTGTTTTCAGTTTTCTTTTTACTGTTGGAATTTTTTCCCCAATTTTTGCTTACCTCTCACATCTTTTTCCACTGAAGGTGGTGTTTCATGCATTTCTGGGTTGTCCATCTGTCCTAGATTGGGTTGTCTTTAGCACCTATTTAAAGATTACATGGTATTATTATGGGAATACAGTCAAGAGGTTAAAGGTCAGATGTCGATGCCACAGTTGTTTCCTTGAACAGTAGGCCCTGTGCATTTTGATATATCGTCGGTGGGGTGACAAAACCTCGTATCTCAAAATCATGAATTTTCAGGAGAGCGCAAAAACCTTTCCTGTCTCAACAGATTTAGTGCTGTGACACTGTCCTTTGTTTGGAATTTGTGAAAAAAAAACGAGACAGGAGGCGTTCCATGGATTTATCAGGTGGTGTCGTAGGCCATTAGGTACAAAATTATGCAAAAAAATCAAAATCTCAAAAAATTGAGATACGAGGTTTTGTCACCCCACCGACGATATAATTCACAATTTTTGAATCATGAAAAACATTTATAAGCCATGACAAAAGGGGGGGGGGGAGAAGAAAATAACAAACAAACATACAAGCATGTGCTGATTACTATTGAGATGATTTCCAGGTTGAGATGAAAGTGATGTTAGTCATTTATATATTAGGCATCTTGACCTTTATTTTTTGGGGGGAGGAGGTCAAAGGAACTGAGGCAGATAATGTTAAACATCATAATGCAATATACCATCTAACAACACATAAAGAAAGACTTTATAGCCTTAAATACTGAATTACATGGGTTGATCATTCAAGAAATGACAAGCTTATTTGCATATTCAAAATTATAATGGGATTATAAAGATTAAACTCTTGGGCAACATTTTTTAAGTGAGGGATCTAAGGTTATCATTAACATTCATAGGGTGGCATATTGGAAAAACAGTCATTTACATTTATTCAATTTTTTATCACATTTTTCTATATCTTTTGTTTCATAATTTTGCATTTCATTCTTTTGGGGTTTTGATCCATTCTTCTCACATTTCGGTCTTTTAATTTCCTTCCTTCATAGTTTCCAAACATCATTCATATTTATTGCAAATTACAAACTACAACGAATGTTTGCTTTTCACACATTTACCATTCACAACCTTACCGACATTGCCAAAAAGATTGAGAATACTATTACAATGAGGTTGTTTTGCTCAATCTTGAGAAGGTTCTGTTCAACCTTTTGATGTAGACATAAACATAGTTTAATTATTTGCAAATTGGTTTTGAGATTGGAAGAAAAGAGCCCCTGCATTACTTTCAAGAAAGTGATCGAACTTTGATATTATAAAAAGGGTAGAAAGAATTTAATTGTTAATAAGAATACTTCTTGTTCTGTGGGTAGATGTCACAACTATAGGCTATGACAGATATAGCATATTAATACGTCTAGTGATGATAACATATTAATAATGAAACCGTAACATTACCAGTACTACAAATATTATAAAATATATATATAAAAACAAGTTCTAAACCTTACTAATTTTAGTACTTATTTTATTGATTCTTAATGAACCTGTTGAACTTTTGGATTCCTTTTCATGATCTTTCACTATGAATTATATCGTCTATCATTGTTTACAACTTTTGCTATAAGTAGATTTTCAGTCTAATTTTCAAACTTTCTATGGACTGAAGATCAACTTTGGGCAATCATCATGGATGAATGGCACTGTAAAACCAGATACAAGATCGTTTGGTCTTTTAAACTTTCAGATGCAATATTTCTTTTTGGAAGTGTGCAGTTCAGTGTTTGACTCATTTAATTTGCAGCATAAAGCAACTTTGAAGACCTATAGTCACGGGTTCTCATTAAGGAATTTGACTAATTTGATACCATTTAGGTGTTTACCCACTATCAGGTGTTCTTTAATAGTCAAAGTCACAAGGAGTGGATTCATCTTTTAGGATGACCTGTAGGTTTTAATGTAATGTACTGCGCCCTCCACTAATCGCCCCTGAAAATATCATCACAAATTCCCCTCACACTCAAGATTGATGGCAAGCTAGAATTATTTTCCTGTAGGTCATAGTTGGTTGCCTAGGAGACCTATACATAGGGGGGGGGGGGGGTCAAATCCCCCCCCCCCCCTCAATTTTTTTTTAATGTGTGTATTTTGGAGGGGGGAAAAAAAACCCTCAAATTTGTTTTTTAATAAAAAAATAAATATATATATATATATATATATTTTTTTTTTTTTTTAATTCCTCAAATCATGGACCCCCCCAAAAAAAATTGTGCTCTTACCCCCCCCCCCCCCCCCGCTGGCTGAGTCGTTGCTTAATTTTTGTCACAATTTATTTATACACCCCCCCCCCCCCCCTCGAAAAAATCCTGCGTACGCCCCTGCCTGTACACATTTAATTAATAATTCCACCAAACCTGGTGCAGCAATTTATGATGCAGTGAACACATGGAGACAGATGACTGTTGTTTTGGCATAGTCTAGACCAAGATGAAAACTCTTGACAAAATTCATAGAAATGAAAGTTTCTGGTTTTGCAGTACCGGTATCCATAATCAAGTGTTTATCTCCTACTTGTTTGATCACTCACTTTTCCTATGACATTTCCACTTACTCCACCTACAATTTTGAATTACTCTTCTCTTTTGCATGACTAAAAAGCTTGTTCTAATCCTTTTTGTAACCCTTTCCATTCAGCCAAGCTCATTTCATTAGCTTGAATTTGATTCATCTAAAAATGTAAATAGAATAAAAAGACTGAAATAGGCTTGCTTTAGTAATGCTTGATGCTAGAAATTTGTCTTGAAACTTGTTTTAAAATTTTTGCATTTTGAATGAGCTTGTAGTTTGCTTGTTTGCTTCTTTTAGAGGGTTTAGTTATCTGTAGCTAAAGGATGATGCAAATTATGGTGTGGGGATTATGTTCCCTCTAGTTTCTAACCAGTAAGAGGGTGGCTATAAATAACAGCAGCTCATGTTTTTGAAAGCATACTCAAGTTAATCCTGGCTTTAACTTGGCTTTCTGATTTATGGAAAGCCAAGTGTCAGCCTGATTATTCCATAGAGATTACTTTATTGAAGTGAATAATCAATTTTTTGAAAAGATTTAATCATAAAATGGAAATGTGAAATTAATATCATGGTGAATTGATCGAACATGATATTATTCATTCAATTAGTAACAGGATTTTGATGATTTTAGGGATAGATACGCTGTCACTTAGTGCTTCAGTGATCAGCAGAACAACTCAACCCACTTTTTGAGGTTTATGATTGTTTGCTTTCAAGAATACTAGCCAAAATGATTAAATTCTTTCATGATATTTTTTGCACTCTCCTGGTCTTTCTTATTCTATGAATATGTTCGGTTAATTGTTTTTCTTGTATGAGATCCCTTAGTCTCACTTTTAAATTCACACCTAACCTTCTTCCACATTGGAAGGAATTGCTTCGTTAATGTCACTGCGGAGTCATAGTAGAGTGTTACATGCTATGCTGGCCTAGGGCAGGTTATGGCCATATGGGGCAATTAAAACAAAAATCACTTTGCCATTCACCTGCCCCATTAGGTCTTGCAGAATGACATCTCAGAATAATGTTTGAAATGAATGAATGAATTCTCATACAAATTTTGTTTTGTTTGTTGGAATGAAAGCAGTTATATAAAATTATAATAAATTTGACCTGAATGCAACACTTTACATGGCTTTGCATCACTAGTTGTGTTCTGAATCGAATCTGTTATTTTATACAGGAAGTTATGGCAGGGCATTGCAAAATAAAGCAAAAACAAAACAACTACAAACCAAAATAATATCATTTGTGGCACCCTTCATGAACTAATTGTTTCAGATTTAAACAATTGTTGTGAAGTTAAGGTGCATCAATTTTCATTGCAAACAACTTGTTAGTCTCAATAATGCCTTGTACATAATGTCATTTCTTTTTTCCCCCTTCTCACTCATTTGATCTTTGTTCAGGCGGAGGCTAAAGAAGAGAGAGCAAAGCGCAGGCAACAAATGAAGGAGGAGAGAGAACATCTGAGGGAAAGTGCTACAAGTCCATCTCAGATAGGTACAAATAATATTTGTTGTCCCTCTTTCCATTTGTCATTCTCTTTAACTTTCAACCCTAGTTTTATTTTTTTTCTTCTCTTTTCTCTTTTTGTCAAGTATCTGAATCAGAATAAAAGGGAAATTGAAGTACATGTAATATACATCGTATTTGAAAATTGAATGTACATAGTGAAATTTCATTCTATATAATATATATGTATATGAATTTTGATTATAATCACAAAATATATTTAGATTTTACAGATTGGATACAAATGATACAGCAGTGAACATTAAATTATTTGCATGAAACCACAAAATTCATGAGTTCAAGAATTTATGAATAATCTTTTGAAGTGTGACTGGTATTTAATGAAACATTCTTTAGGTTGTTGTCACAGGCACATGGTATTTACGTTATGTTTATTCCACAGAAACCAGGAGACAGAGGAGAGGGAGAAGTGAAGACGAAGGAGCCGAGAGCAAGCCTTACACCAAGCAGCAGCTCAAGGAACAGAAGCTCCAAGAGAAGCGACGAGAAGCCAAGCGCCAGCGCAGCCTCCTATCTCAGAGTGAAGACAGCCCTGCAGCACTGGACTCCAAACCCAGGAGGGAGACCGAGTGGACAGCCCCGCGTATCCTCAGACAGGACTTCCTCATCAAGAAGCGACGGGACTCCCAGATTCCTTTCCATCACCTGCTCACCTTGGACATGGCTTACAAGCAGCTTCTGAAGAAGAGTCAGCAGAGGACCAAGTTCATTGCTATGAGGGCGAGGGAAGAGAAAGAAGGCAAGAAGTCGTACAGCAGGTTTACCTTCCATGCTCCAGGCAAGAATGTCAGAAAGTCCAGATGGCTGCAAGCATCGGCAGAGCGGAAGGAGTGGAAGTCAGAGAGAGAAGCGCCATCCGCACCAGAGGCAGTTCTGGAAACGGTTGCTATGGATGAGGCTGAACAGCATGAGGAAGTGCAATGTGCCAATGAAGAGGATAGGCTGGAAATGATATCACCTACAAGCCCTGATGAAGCTCCTCCAGAACCTGAGGAAGACAGTAAGGGTGGTTCAAGATATGAGTCTATCAAAAGTCCTGAAACTGAATTAGACATTGATCAATTTGGAAAGAGTAGTACGGATAAGGTTGATGAGCTAGAGCCAGAGAGAACTGATAATACGGTAGACAGTGATAGACTTAGCAGTGAGAAAGTGGATATAGTACTCAAGGAGAAAACAGAAGCTGAAACAGGATCAGAGTTTGGAAAAGCCAGTGATGATACTGCCAATGACACCACTGATGTAAAGATGGAAGAAAACGAAACACTGAGGGTGTCTCCCAGTCAAGTAAACATTGGTGTCACTGATACTAAAGAATGTGATACTAGTTCGGACAAAGATAGAAATATTAAAGATGAAGAGATGGATGTGGCAACAGACGAGAAGGTAACTCCGGAGGATCATCATGCTGAGGAGGAGGCAAAGTTAGAGGAGGAGGAAAAAGAGGAGCCACAGGAAAATGATGACATTGACAAAGAACAGGAAGTGGACAAAGAGGAAGAAGTACAAATCAGTACAAAAGATGATGAGAAGAATACTGATACACCTGCAGAAGACACAGTGCCAACCTTTGTTGTTCTCGAGAGAGAAGAGATATCAAGCGAGGAAGGGGATTTTGATGACCCTGAGAGAGATATCACAGAGGAGCAGGTTTCTTCTGAAGATAAATCGGTGAAACTACCCTCCATATTCCAACAGACTGAGGCAATATCTTCGGATGAAGAGCTTGATGAAATCATGCCATCTTCATCAGGGAAGGACAAGGCCGATGGGGATAGGGTAGAGGAGAAATCGGAAGGAGAGGTGGATGAAGAAATCCCACCCCTTGCAGAGGGAGAATCAATTACCAAGCTCACCGAAGATGTATCAGGAGATGAACTCTCTGATACTCGATCTGTAGAGAATCCACCAACTCCAACCATGGATGAACCGTCCGAGTTTGAAGGAATTAGAGAAGGGAACAACGATGGACAGGCAACTATTCCCATAGTACTAGTTAGTAATCCTGGTGGGTCTGGTAAAAGTCTTGGACATAGCTATTCCACAGGATCATCGAGTGATGCAGAAGGAACCAGGACAAGGGAAAGCACTCCGAAAAGTGATGGAAAAATCCAAGAAAAGATGGAAGACAGCAGAAAAAAAGAAGAAATTGAAGAGGGAGAACTTGCAGAAATGGAAGAAGGAGAAGTTTCAGAGGAAAAGGAGCAGACATCAGGTCGTGGGTCACGCTACAGAAACACTAGTGGTCAAAGTGATCCTCCGGAGGAATCATCTGGGTATGGAAAGCGCCCACGCAGGAGAACCTTCTCCCCACATCAAGGCAAAGATGATGAGTACTTGTACTTTGGTCTTGGAAAGCGGACACGGCGACAGTCACCAACACCACCAGCCCAGTCTCCTACTCCTCCGACACAAGGAGCTGCCCAAAGGAAACCCCTCACCAGGGAACGTTCAAGATCTGGCGGGATGGCAGCTGGCCAGGCCAAAGACTCCCCAGGACCTGTCAAGGAGCAGGAGGAGAGGGTCCCTTCAGCCCCGACAGAACGTCGATCATCCCGCTACTCCAGGAGAGTGTCACCTCCTAATAGGTACTCACCAAGCGAACAGAGGACAACACCAAAGGGCAAAGGCCAAGGCGGTACTACCCCACCATCTGCCCCATCTACATCATCGCCTTCACCCTCACCACATGAATCTGACCAACCGTCTGAACCCCAGCAGCCACATCGTCACTTCACCCGACGGATGAGTGGGCGAGACGAGGAGAAGAGGAGGCCTCATCGCTATGAAGACATGTATTACTATGACAACAAGAGATCAAGAGGTAACACCAATCAAGCACCTGCTTCAGGTAAACCAGTGAGAAGGACATCGGGAGAAGAAAGGAAAAGGAAGCGATAGATCAAAGGGTCAGTGACACAAAGACGTAACTCCATTTTGGCCATTTTTTAAGAAAAAGTGGTTTATGAGGTTTTTCGTCTGTGTGTCACTGAACCCTCGAGATGATGAATTAGAAATGAAAATCTGGGCACCATCTCATAATACTCTCAAAAGTTCAAATTCATTGACATCCCATTGAAAACATGTTTTATTTTGATGTAAAGGTTCTGTAGGACGTCAGCAAAGTTGTGCTTCTGATTTTCATGAAACAATGCTCTGATTCTGAGAGATTGGACAAATAATCTAAAGGAAAGTCTGGGGATCAGTGAGTACATGTACTTTTGAAAACAAAAAAATGTACCTGAATTGCTGTTCTCATAAATTTGATAAAGGTACATGTACATACATGCATGCTTCACAGTGCTTTATTTACATTAAACATGTGTATAGCACATGTGATTTTTGTTTTAATCGCATGGTATTGCATTGTTTTGTATATCCATTAAGTGCTATACATCAATGCTGCTTTGTCATGTCTACACTACAGGTACTTGTATAGACAATCTGGAGAACTTTTACAATTTTCTTAAATATTATTTTGATTTTATTAAGAGAAAAGAAAATTCTTGTTCGAGTGTCATGAAGTTTGATGTTTCTGAAATAGAATTGCCTTTTCTTTTATACATGTGATTGTATTCCAACTTTGTTAATTTGATGCCCTTGAAAAAGTAGTTCATCTTTCGTGTTTTGAAATCCTACTCAAATCACGAATTCTTTTAGATTTAACAAATAAAATTTCTCCAGTTGGTCATTATAAATGAAAAATAACTGATTTGACAAATGCTATTATTCACTTCAATTTTTATAAAGCTGGAGCTGAATGTTATAACTTGAATTTAAATACGAATATTCAAAATATTGGAAAAATATCCTTCATGTTCTAATGAGCTATTATTAAAAAAAATTGTTTTGGAATCCTTTTGCAATGGCATCATTTTGAATTATTTTCATTCAATAATGTACAATTGACAGCATTTGAATATAACTTATTTCACATTTCTGTGAATAAAAGAATTACCTTGTTATGCCTGGACTTACAATTTTTCTTGTGATGTGCCAAACTTCTTGGGAATCGATCATGAACAATTTCCTATTCTTTCTCAACTGAATCATGAAGTGTGTATGCATAATGTTTACTAACAGAATGTATAATTTGAGATAGATAAAATGATATAGATATACATGTACGTGTATGCTTTAATGGCCCTTGAATGTTGCATATATGTGGATATATCTTGCGCCCCCCCCCCCTCCCCCTCTCATGGACCAACAAGTAATCCATGTACAGTAATACCTTGTTAGAAGGAAATCAGATTTTATTTTGGTTTGTTTCATGGTCATATATTCTCCGCTGCTCTCCGATTAACCTCTAATCATACAAACTAGACATATGAAATCAATCTGGATATTTCAGTATTATATGTCAGGTCCAGTAAATGCCCAAATGTTGAATTTGCCTGTGCAACAAAGTACTGTATAAATGTGTAAGGTTACACAATGTGACTGATTTAATGTTACTGTGTTTTGTAAGATATTAAATATCATTTAAATGCAATTTTTCTTTCAATGACTTCTTGCATTTATGTTGTTTTGTGAGAAATAGCAAAGAGGTGATTGAGAATGTTCAATGAAGATTTCTATTAAGAATGTACGGGATTTGTATTTTTTGTGCAAAATACATGTACATGTATTGTAAAAAGGAAGAAAGACCGAAAGAAAGTGTGATTTGATAAAGGGGACTCAAAATTTGTTGAAGATTCTTGAGAAATGGAATGAGTGCAGTTGATTGCTAGCACTCTGAGAGAATGGATGGAGGAATATATTTTGAGCTAAATAATGCAGTCGTGACATGAAATTTGAGAACTTCTTAGGGTGTATGGTTTGTGCACTGGCGTATCCAGTGGTGAAGGGCTGATCCTATTGAAAAATGTGAGAACACTACAAACTTGTCTGATTTGTGTGTGAGTTGAGATGGTGTCTAAAATAATGTTGGAAGGGGGAAATTGCTACATGTATTGATTTTAAAAAAATAGACGAGAAATATTAGGTGATGTAGGCATATTACCCAAATGAAACTATTTTAATAATTTCTATAAGCCCCTCAACCCCCTCCCCCCCCCCCCCCCGCACCACCACCCACTACCTCTGCTTGTGCTAGTGCCCAACTAAATTGAAAGAAATTAGGTAATACTTTTTTCTTCTTTTTTTAAAGCTTTTTTGCCTTTATTCAGATATTCATAATTATACAAAATGATGAATAGGAACAATTGTTCTTACAGTATAAACATACATGTAGTACATTGTTTCATACATTATAAACACAGACATATTTTTAAAATATTTTCCATAAGTATCCAAACTAATATAGTACATATTCAATCAAGCGTACAAATTGTGCTACAATCCTTTACAAAAGGTGACGGTAATACTTCATATTAATTTGTTTTGATACAACATTATAAAAAGGAACAATTTTTACAACATATTTTCAATGCAAATTAATTAGTTCAATATAAATTTAAGCAATCTGAACAAAGATTTTCTTATATAAACAAAAAGTATAAGGTGAAGGTTCTGCTTCATAACCCATGATAACAAAATTTGTTATATTTACATATAATGATATGGTGCATTTTTTTGTTAACTCCTAGATTTCATTATAACTATTTGAGGGTCTTGTATCAGTGGAGGTTTGTAACTATACCGTTATTAAACAAATCAAAATATAAAAAACAAGCAAACAACGATAGTAGATAAGTGTCTGGATCGATGAGAAAGTGAGGGAGTGAACAGGAATTTATACAATCAGTTCCCCTGCCGGGGTAACATTTTCCATTTTTGATAATGTATTGGCAGTTTGTCCTTTCATTTTGCTTTTTCATGTTCAACTTTTTTTTAGTTCTCTACAGCCTTACTCCCAGCAAAAGGAGGACGAGCTATGGAAATACCAAGAGAGCGCCATCTAGTGCTGAGTGTTTGAGTGCAGGTGATTGATGGAATGTCCGTCCAGAATTGTGTTAAATTACGAAAAATCACTGTTGATAATGTCAATATTCTAATCTCTCCCAAAATTGTTAACAATACCGATTATACCATATATAGTTTGAAAATCATGTTCAATCTTTGATCTTACCCCCCTCCCCCTCCCCCTCCCCCTCCCTCCCCCTCCTCCTCCCTCTCCCCCCCCCCCCCCCCCCCCCCCCCTCGTGGCTACGGGCCTGAATGGGGAGGCTGCATGGATATAGTCCTACAGCCAATATGACGTTCCTGTGCTCCCAAAAGCTTTAAATATGAAGGCGAATTTTAACTGAAAAAGCTTTGACATCGCCTTTCTTTATATTTGTGCCAAATATAAGAGTGATAAAAAAAAAATCCCGGTCTAATCATTTAACAGCATGAGCGCCCTCATTCGAGATAATTCTATGGCGATGATATCTTCTACATGTACTTCCGTATGGTTTTATAGTATAGTCTGACACCCCCACCATTATTTTTAATGATTGAATAAGAAATGGCAACAAAACATTATTTCATGTACGGAGCAGTGGGGCCTACTAAATGTCGACAAAACAATGGTTGTTAACTTTTTGTCATAAAATAATAATATGAGAAAATTTAATTTATAAACGGTATACGTAATTTATCGTCGCGGGCAAAGGAACGATATAAGTTCGCATCGGGGTCAACTTTTTCCAGGATGTACCTGAATATCATAGTGACTGTATTGCTACTACATAATCATTTAGTTAACCCTACACATATTTTACAAGCTCTTAAGTATTGCAAGTGAAACAAGTTGGATGAAATCAACGTGAACTTGACAAGTTTTCCCAGCAGGGGTGAAGATATGGAGTTACAAGAACCGAGGGATTCAATGGAATCTCCTCAAATACCAAGAAATCCGAACCGCTTTCTTAATCTTTACATGAATGTGTGAATGACTCGCGGAATTGCAATTTAAATTTCCTAATTTTCATTCAATTACCTTGCCACTTTGCAACTAGACATCGTCCTCCTTTTGATGGGACATCTAAGAAGGTAGTTAATTTGGGAAATTACATTTCTACATGGTCCGCATCGGCCACCTGCAATTTTCTTTGCCGGAGGCGCAGATGCCTGATTTAAAACCGTCGTCTGATTTTAAAATTGCGCGAAAAAATGGCGGGTGAATTGGAGAGACGCTCAATCGAGATCAAATTGTCAAAAATAGACCGCTAGAGTAACTTTGTGAAGACGAGAATGTGTTTTTGTACTCGTTAGGTCCTGCGTTAAGCAATTGTTTCAATTTATACCCTCATCAAAATAGTCTGTATTGCCATTGTGTCAAGGTAGCGCTCATTTATCAACAGTGACAGAAACAATTGTTTCGAAATTTGTTTAAACCTTTTTTTTTGTAATATCACATTTATGAGACAACATGATATTTTCAGTCACCTCGCATTGAAATGGAAACTATATCTATATATTTTGAATAAAATTCATGTTTTTTTTCCTTATCCTCTGGCCAAATGAAACATACTTTCTCGCTCTCAGGGGAATTGCAATTATGGAAAAAGAAATGTGATCATTGTACTTTCGAAACAATTTAAAGAAACTAGGCTCACTCGAAAATTGCCCCGGGAAGAATTAGCTTTGTTTTTCGAAATAGAGCAGGCTATCACATTCTAGGTTTTCCTATGAATACCAGATAATTCTTTTCATGATATTTTTATATTCTTCTCAATTCTTCTCTTTCTTCTTCGTCTTCTTCTTCTTTTTCTCATTCTTCTGTTCCTTCTTCTTCTCTTTCTTCTTTGTCTTTCATTCTTCTTCTTCTTTATCTCTTTCTCCTTCTTATTCTTCTGCATCTTCTACTACTTTTTTTTTTTTTCCCTTCTCTTCTTCTCTTCTTTTTATCCCGGAGGGGTGCATTACTTACAATTAATCATATTTTTTCCTTCTGTATCCGGATGTTTTGTTGCAAGGGTTACAATATCATTGATGAGGGTGTTGTTATATGCGTTACAGTAATAGGTTTGGTAAATGGTTTTCGACAGTCCTGCGGTAGCGACTCGGTGGAACGGGGAGGAGCTCGGTAATTGGGCGCTTGGTTTGGGGTCAAAACCAGCCGACACTACCATGGCACGTAGAGAAAAAGAGATTGCAACGGCTGCGATGGAAGAGGAAAGGGGATGCAAGAAGAGGGGGCGAAAAGAGGAATATGGGGAGAGGAGAAGCGTGCATTATATGGATTGATTGAAGGGGTGGAGGGGCAAGGGATAGATAGATGTGGGTAGATAGATATAGTCGATATAGATAAATAGACAAATGGATAGATAGATAGATAGGTGGATAGATAAATAGATTATATAGATAGATAAAATTATAATAATAATTACAGTGCTTATAATTATAGCGCCTTACACTTACTTTGTCAGAAGTCTCTAAGCGCTCTACAATAATGCAGCATAATTACCCTGGCTTTAGCAGTGCAGCTGTTACGCGCGCTGCGTTTCAAGGAATAAATTCCTACCAGGTACCCATTTTACTTCACCTGGGTGGAGTGTGGCAAATGTAGATCAATGTCTTGCCAAAGGACATTAATGGGTTCGTAGATACATAGATATAGATAGATAGGCGGATAGATAGATAGGTAAATAAATAGGCATATATAATTATATAGATAGATAAATAGGTAAGAAATATAGGGAGTGAGAGGGAGAGGGAGAGAGAGAGAGAGAGAGAGAGAGAGAGAGAGGGTGAGAGAGAGAGAGAGAGTGAGAGAAGGAGATAAGTTTAAAAAACATGACACATTGACATTGAGTAAAATAAAAAAGAAGTCCAAACACGAGGGTAATATTATTGTGTCTTATCAACTTTGTACTTTCTCCAATTATGATCGAAATAGTAACTTGGAAGTTGGACATAAAATAAAGAATTTGCACGAATTGGTATATAATTATGGGCACCAAATTACCCTATAAACGTGATTCAAGTTGGAAAATATCAAAGGATTTTTAAAGAGTTTATGAGTATACCTTTCGTAAGAGTGCTACGAAATCATCATCAATACAAATTACTAAAACATGTCAATAAATTATGTATGCTAGCCCCCTAAAAGTAGCACACTGAATAATACCAAATTATAATTGAACTTGATACAAATTATTGGCAAAAACGACATTTATGCTTATGATCAGTATTGTTGGAATGAATCATGATATTCTGGCTACAATAAGAGTCGATCGTTTCGTTGAGTTTCGCATCAACTCGCACTTAAAATTGCTAGTAAATTATTGTAATAATCTCATATTTTGTAACAACTTAACAGTGGCCCTTGCTACAACTTAAAACCTTAGATTAAACAAACAATCAGATTTTCGGTAAATTTTAAAGATACCATGTCCCTTTTGCAGCCAACCTCAAATTCTGTAGAACTTTGCAGAAATTATGAATATGTCATGTATGTCATATTTGTGAAATTTAAACGTTAGCAGTGTCCTAATATTCAAATTATGCAAGGAAACTCGTTTACTTGCTAGACTTCCCTGTCAGACACTATTGAGTGCCTGACTG